CCTTAGCACAGGCTGTTCGACCCATAACATCCTGGAAAGCGAAAAACTGCTCTGCAAAACTCGTCACAGGATCCGATGGTGCTGTTGACTGAGATAGTGTATTTTGTTGTGTCCTTCGAAGTCGAATCAGATCATTGGCGCCTTTGAGATGGATCGTCCATTGTTGATCACATTTGTCTACTATCTCATATAGACATAGCATTATCATGATAACCAACACTTCGGGATCCATGGAGCAGGTCAAAGTTCCCTCGGAGGAGAGACGTCGGCGAAGGTCTCTCAGGGCCTCTGATTTGAACCGCAGTCCGATAGCACTGTAACTCGGATTGAGCCTTGACCAGTGGCATGCTCCCAATGCTTGAATCGCCTTGAAGAGAGTGGGAGATGCAGACAGGCAAAACGGAAGAATGACGGAAGCAAATGGCGACGAGAAAGCAGAGCTAGCTGTCGTGCGTGGACAGACTTGTTGTAGATAATAATCGAATAGCTCTCCATGCCCCGATTTGGAGAGTTCTGGAAACAGCGCGAGGGAAGGCGGAAGACTGACATCGAAATTCATGGCCAGTCCACCGAGGTACGGGAGATGCTGTAGCCACGACCATAGTTGATCAGCCGTCTCATTTCTAGGAAATAGCGAGTTAGAGCTCTGGGCAACGGTGATGATCGCATTCAGCTCGTTAAAGTCCACGTTGACTTCATCTGGGCGTTCAAAAGTCGAAACACCGCTGTTTATAAAGCCCCAGGAGCGAACATTCGGTACAGGGCACCACTCCTGTATGGAAGAAATGGAACTAGGAGTGGATGGGCTCGCGGTTTGAGATTTGCTCCAAACGCCCGCACGACCAAAGGCCATGCCACGACTGGCGAATTCCGATTCCCATTTCAGAACCAGGTTCTTAGTGCATGGCAATCCTTTCTCCCAGCAGCGTGTGCAGCGAGGCTTTTTGGTGTCGCAGCGGACACGACCCGCGCGACATTCTTTGCAGCCATCGCGAGACCGGGTCTTGACCGGGCCCGTGCGGTCTGCAGCTTTTCTTCGTGGCATCTGAGAATTAATTTCACATGGTCTTGTGGATGAGCCCTGTCGGGGTCTGGATGAAGTTGGTCGAGTAGTTGAAGGAACAAAAAAATTGGGTCTCAGTGGCGATAAGGGTCTATCGTCCCCGCATATGTCAGAGCGGGAACCATTTGGCACTTTTATATACATTTTACAGCAGAGTTAGAATATGTAGTATATGTTTATTCTTAAAGGTACTCTGCTATTAAGACTGTTCCCTTTTCCACTCGGCTGCACAGTCACCAAATGTGACAAATTCGACATCCTGCTGCTTGAGCCAACTGATCATTCGGTCGATCATGCCAGCAACATGGGCCATTCCACTAGTATCCGGGTGCAACACCAAAGGGAAGATGAATCCCTGGGGGCTAGAATCCTCCTCGGCCTTGTCAAGGGCTTCGCTGTACAGGAACTCAAACCGAGACTTCCAATTCTGCTCAATCGTCATCGGGCTAACAAACCCGTGAGAGTTCTCAGCAGCTGGAAGGAACTGCATCGGGGTCATATCCTCCATATACCAATTACAGGGAATTTCAACCAGGGTTTTGGAAGTCCTGGCCGCCGGGAGAGGGAGAGGCTTCATCCAAGTGGAAGCAGAATTGGAAGGCGAGAAGTCAATGGCCGTGGGCTCGGGCATTTTAGGGATAAAGTAGAGCGCTGAATCATGATGCGTGAGAGAAGAATCTAGTTGATGGTTAGTATTTCATTGTAGGAAAAGAATTGCCACCGCATACCGTATAAGAATCCAAGCTCCTCCAGGACGTCAATGGTATTCGTTCGCAATTGATACAAGGGGGCTCTCCACCCACGAGGCTTTTTCCCTGTCAGGTCGGTTGCCAACTGCATACATTTCGTGATAACGTCCCTCTCCTGAGACTCGGTCATTTGGGCGGAACCCTCGTGGGCGTATCCATGACAGCCGATTTCCGCACCAGAATCGACAATCGCCTTGGTCTCTTTCGGAAATGACTCCATTGAATGACCCGGAATGAACCAGGTCACCAAGGAAGCGATTTCATGTTTCTTAAAGAGTCGGAGTAGGCGCGGCACTCCTACTTGGGCTGCGAAGAAACCACTGCTGTAATCGGCGAGATTGGTTGTGGGAGAAGCACCGGTGCCTAAGAAGCCTGACACGGCATCGAAATCGACCGAGAGTAGAATCCGAACTCGTGGTTTAGACATGGTGAACTTGAAGTGGTGGGGAGTAGAAAGCAGTGAGGAATAAAGTTGCCCAGGTTGACCAAAAGGGAAAGACAAGCCGATCTCTTTTTTGCCGATCACCTATACAACCCTCAGACCCGGTCTATACTTGTCATGTTAAGTGAAAAATAATTTACTGGCTTCGTGTTTGAGAGACTATTTTTGAGTTAATACCTTGGTAATTTCTGAATTGGCGTCTCAATTGCCGTACACTTCCTTAATAGTATTGCACTCTAGCAGTTCAAGAGACGTAAATAGGACCAAAAGAATATAAGTCAGCTCTGGTAGTTCAGTGGTAGAATACTACTCTTCCAAAGTAGTGGCGGGGGTTCGATTCCCTCCCAGTGCATAGATTTTGTTTTTGACCGATCAGAACGTTATCTAAGAGTTAATACAACACGCCCTTTGATCGACATGGCCCCGCATGCAATTTCTATGCGTCTTCTCCTATATCTTTACGGTCTTACCCTCTAAACAACCACCTTAACTTATACAATGACCTCCCGCACATATCTCGCCTTTCAGCATGACGCAAGTCTTCACAACCTTGAGACCATTGTGATGGCTGTTCACCCTTTCAAAACACTGGACGAATCTAGCCGGCAGCTCTTCAAGGATGCCGAAGATTGCCATGTCGTTGTGACTGAGAAGACCATCTTCCATCCCCAGGGAGGCGGTCAACCCTCCGACATAGGCGTGATCAAAGGCCCTGCTGGCACTTTCACCGTCACGGCAGTTCGCATGGATGCCGATGGACAAGTGCTTCACCTCGGCGTTTTCGAGGATTCATCTTCGCTTTTCAAGGACGGGGAAGCAGTTGAGCAGGCAATTGATGTCGAGAAGCGTCTGCTTTACTCCCGCCTTCATACCGCTGGCCATGTACTCGGTTCCGCAGTCCGACATCTGCTGGAGAAGGAGATCGAGAACTTCGATGAATTGAAGGCCTCTCACTTCCCCGACTCAGCAGCATGTGAATTCAAAGGCTCAATCGAGGGGAAATGGAAAGACCCTATCCAGCAGAGACTAGATGAATATATCGCTGCCAAGATGCCCGTTCAGATCGAGTGGTGGGACGAAGATGATTTCCGTTCGCGCGGACTGGAGCGATTGATACCAGATCGCAGTCTGGTCCCCGCTGGTGAAAAGTCCCGTGTGGTAAACATTGTTGGGGCTGAAGTGTATCCTTGTGGAGGCACGCATGTCGATACTACGGACTTGTGTGGGCCTGTGACAGTGAAGAAGATATCAAGAAAGACAGGCAACTCGCGTGTCAGCTATGTGGTGAAACAGTCTTGATCATACCAGGCACTCGGATACATGAGAGCCTAAAGAGGGTCGCTCAATAGATTATGCCTTACGATACTCAACTGCTTGCATGGGAGAGCCAAGAGATCTTGACAAGATAGAACCGCCAATGTGATTATTTCAGTTTTAGAGAACATTGGGTAAAATTTATGTATAGTCAATATACTCAGTTCATCGAGATGGCTCGGTTTCGTCAAGCTGATAGCTCTCCTGAGACGGGCCAGAACGTGGATTGAATGGCAGCGACAGAGCCTGCTCCTCGTCATCCAACCTAGTAAAGCCGTCCGGTCCAGCGAGGTCCGATTTGTCATAGGGGATATCACACAGAACCGAGCGCAGTGGCGGATAGTAACGGCGGTAGGAGAACCAGGCTATCAACATGCCCAGAAGTCCTCCGCATGTTACATCGTAGACATCGTGTCGATAATCATCCAAACGTGAGATGGCAACCAACAGAGCACATAGCAATGGAAAGAATGCCAACAGACAACGCCCAAGATCCGTGCGGGGCCTGAAGACGTGCATTTGACCGCACAAGAAACTATATATTGGTAAGATTGAAGTTTCTCGGGGTTGGGGCTGACCAGTACTCACAGAGATAGGTAACCCAGACCACCAAAGGAGAAGCTGCTGTGTCCACTAGGAAAGCTCCTCCATCCCTCTTGTAGAATGTGCTGGTTTGGTTCTGTGCAGACGGTCCATGCGACCAGCGCATTGTTCGATGTACCTCGAGAGGGTTTGCAGCGTGATAGTAAGTCTGGACGTGGCCTTCCCACCGCATTCTTGATTATGTCCGTGAGGAGCGATGTCAACATCAAGGCGACGAGAAGCCCAAGTATCGTTACTTGTGTCTTTTGCACACCGGGACGACACATTGCGGACCAAGTAAGGATGATGAGAAAAGGAATGACGCCGGCGAATATAACAGACCACACTAGATCTATCAGCAACAGATGTGTAGGTTATGCGATTGCGGAGGACTCACAAACAGGGACTCGTTCATGAACAGCAAATGGGTACTGGATGGCCCTATTGTCGAGGGAAAACATGCGATGAAATGGCTCCATGAGTTGCACCTAAACATCTGACAGTTAGTATCATATAAACCAGCTGGTAATGCGACTTACCAAGACCCAACCTGCTACTAGAAACCCCAATGCGATGTAGTCGGCGGCATAGGAGCGTTGCGCAAAACGAGCAGCGGCCCCGGCGAGCCCAACGCGCTGTAGAATTGGGGTTGACTCATTCCCCAAACCATTGTGAGGCATGTCGATGTACTCCGGATATCTCCAGAAACCCCGAGTCGGTCAGAAATTGAAGCGGCGCAGGTTGTCGACACATTGCGGCCGCACGGACCATACCGCTCTCCACTCACCTTCATCTTCCTTCACCTGCGCCTTCGTTCTTCTTTCAATCTTCGCTTGCCCACACCCAGATCATGGCTGATCCGAGTCAGCCACCTGTTCCTACAGCTTTTGCGCCCCCACCACCGCTGTGGAAACACTTTACACGCGAGAATCTCGACAAGCTCGAGCATATCAAAGCCGAAGCTTCCAAGGACGAAGATGGCCGGCCAAACAAGAAGAAGGAATGGTCAGCAGCAGAGCTGCGCGCTCTAGAGATCCCAGATGAGCTTAGATATCTCGTGCCCCCGGATATTCCAACGGGGCAGTATAGCGTCTTTGGGGAATTGCAAACGGTTTGTCCCTCTACCTGAGATGTCCTACAGTAGAAGATGACTGACTGTGACTTAAGATGTCGACCGTGTTGCCATCATTGAAAGACCAGGGAATTGAACAGCTCTACCCAGAACCTGCCACAGCCGACGCCGACCAGGACCCTTCGCAGCCCTCACCTCCTCTCAACCATGCCTATTACCTTCTCAAGATCAGCAAGTCCCTCCTCCTCAATTTCCTGGAATTCGTCGGGATTCTATCAGTGTCCCCAGAGCAATATCAATCCAAGGTGGAGGATATGCGCAACCTATTTATCAACGCCCACCATCTTCTCAACCTCTACCGCCCGCATCAGGCCCGCGAATCACTCATCATGATGATGGAAGAGCAGCTCAGCCACACTCGCGAGGAAATCAAGCAAATGGACAAGGTCAAGGCAGAGGTCGAGGGTGTCCTGGATCAGTTGCAAGCTGAAGGCAACCGCGTGGGCTCCATCGAATCTACGGAGAATACCAACCCGAGCATAGCGCTGAAGGAGAAGGCAGATGCCCACTCTCGGCTGATTTGGGATTTACTCGGCAAAGAGGAGTGAAATCATTGGTGCTTGATTTATACGCCACAAAATTTTCGTCTACGGATTGAACAACTGGACTGGTTCAACCATCTCTTTAAAATGATATCGCGCTGGTTACCTGGCTTACAAAGCGTCAAGCTTGGCCATGAATATACACCCGAGCGATGCAGTCTCCCAAGAAAAAGGGTACCCAAATTGGCAATGAAGTTCGTTACAGTCTCGACTGGCGGCATGGGCATGAGACCCCATCTCATCATGATAGTGACCACGAATGTATGAATTGCATGTCATGTGGGTCGTGCTACCCCTGCACGGCTTTTGATAAGAGCTGCAAGCCTCGACCATCAGGAAGCTCCTAACCTTGCGCCATACAGTGGATTGTGATCGACTGCCCCAAATCCATCCCCTCAGCTCAGGTAGCCAGGGTGGCAGTCTGTTCTGACCGTGGAATGAAGTAAATTGCCTTCTGTTGCCTGCATAATAGCAGGGGCGAGGATTCTACTCGACCAAATGGATTGAATGGTAGTTTCCTTTGATTAGTGTGTATGAAACTATGTCGGTAGCATCACTGAAGAAATCTACCAAATATTTCATGCATAATACAATTCATGTCATCGTAAATCCTATTATTGATAGCCCGTAACCGTGTATCAAGTGGTGGCCAGTCACCGGAAAAGATCCCTCAATCATTTCACCATGTGGCTGGCACGCTGCTCTGCCCAGGCCTTGTCAATGGCACATTCAGCTAGTCGCTTCAACTCCATAACGAAGTCGGCGACCATCTTGAAGTGCACAAGCTCATTCTCTGGCAGTTTTCGTGAAAATACACGCTCCATCATGACAGTGGCAACCTTTAGTCGGTCCAAATCTTCGCGCGAATGTGGATCCAGTGGGTTTTGAAGGATGCTGCAGAAGATGGTGAGTAGTGCAGACATGGGGTAGAAGATGAGGGTCCTAGAACAGTTAGCTTTGACCTGTGGACAGTAAGTAATAGACCACTTACCAGAATACCCCATCGACCACCACATGTTCTGCCGCCTCGAGGTAACAGAGACTTGATCGACTGGCCTCTACCGAAAGAGCCATGCTCGAACTCACTCCATCCACCATGCCACTTTGCCCTTCCATCCATGATTTACACCTACCACTTGCTTGGTGAATGATAGCCATGCACAAATGATAATTCAACCGCAGCATGACACTGTGCATACCCATATTGGGATCAGATGTCTCCGGAGAAAAGGACATGGTTGGACGCCACGTCGGAGGAACCGAAAGACGCCACTCTTCAAGCTCGTCATCTAGTTCCCGAATTGACTTGAGGAGCTCGGCATCGGATTTTCGAAGACTGCTCACTGAATAGAGCTCTCTGTGCGCGCGAGCCTTGATTATGCTCAGACGTAGGTCAAAGGGGAAGACTGGTCCCAGGAACGGCGCATCCTCGTCTTCCACGTCCAGGAATGCTCGTTCGAGATAGCCCGGCGGCAGTGTCAGGTCACAGTTTTCATCGCTGATCGTAGGCGGCTGGCCGGTGCGGAGCGAAATATCTTTGTCCATTGTGTAGCAGATCCAGAATAAGTTTCGTATTTGTTGGTCCTTCTGCTGGCGGCGTTTATCAAACGAATAGGGCTGGCCGTCCGGTACGTTCCCACCAAGCATAAAAATCAATCGTGCTGTGATTCCGGCATAGTAATTTGTTGCCTGCATATTTCCAGCCGATAGTTCAACGAGAGTCTAGTCACCAGTCAGTTGTCAAAGTAGCATATACAAATTGAGGAGCTAACTTACCAACATGGTGAGAGCCTGGGCAGAGTCCAGACTAGGACTCTCTTGAAGCACTTGAGGCATCAAAAACTGTGCTCTCGTAGCAAGTAGATCATGGTCAACTGGAGCTATGTTCAGAGCAGCAACCATTTCCTTCACAAGAGGAAGGCGAGAAGCGAAGCTAATAAAGGCAATGACAGAGACTCGCGCACTAGCTTGTCCATAGCCGAAGGTTGGACCCGGATGTTTGTAAGCTGTTCTGATGGTCTCATCAAAGAGTTCAAAATCTATGATGGGAAAGATGCGTCGCATCACCTTTGAGGCCTTGAATGCCTCGAGGTGGACCTGCAAGACCCCGAAGTCAGGTAATTCGAATGGATTGAGAGCATTCATATTCATCAGAAGGGTATTGAAACTCTGGCCGCGCTCTTTTTCCCATGGTGCTCGTGCTGGGCTGAGTCTGTCAATTGGAATACTTTGCCCTGTACGAGCTTCAATCCATGCCCGACCCTCAGGGAAAAGAAATGGCGTGCCAGTAAGTAGGCTGATGACGCCCAATTCTTTTCCTGCGAAATGAACGCGAGCTGATGACGAGTCTGGGGGCTGATGGGTGTTGGGGGAATTGCTGGCCGTTGTACTGGCCCGAGGAGATTGAGACGTATCCTCACATTCTGTTCGGTGTCAATGAGGACGTTGTTAAATAATTTTCTGAATAGTAGTGTACCTGATATTTGATGTCGCGTCAAATTCTCGGCTAGCAGCCTCTCAATGCGGCTAATTCGCTCCGACAGCCGTGAGACTTTGGGGCGACTATATTGGTCAGACACATGTACAGGACGTACAAAGGGGACAGGGGGTGACTGACCCCTCATCATCACCACCTTTCCTTTTCCTGTGCACTACTCGATCGAACGTGCAAGGAATATTGTGGTGGCTGCACCAATTACACTGCGGAACGGCGGCGTCGCATTTAATCTTGGCGGTATTAGCGGCGGAATCGGCTAGAGGGTCATAAGACATACCTTTCGCTTGTAGCATGAATCACAAGCACGGGCGGCCCTCTTACGGGGTTCAACTGCGTTTGAAGGATCCATTGGAATGATGTCTACAGGACTGGATGCTCGGAGAGGGGAACTCCGCTGCATCCCGCTGACTAAGATAGAACGATACCCCGCTAACTCAGCCATTTGCGAGATTTAGAGTTTCTATAGTTGGAGAGAACAAAACCTGGAGATGGTGGAAGTAGATGGAATGATAGACAAAGGGTTCTGATGTATTAGATAGACGGTACATTATGGCTGGAATGGACGTCCTGGTATCGCGTAGGTGTGCAGAATCCAGGGAAATTAAATCCCGAACGCTGATATCATTCTTGTTTGTGCCGCTCTGTGCGGTCAGACGAGGTTCAACCGCAAGGATATCCCGAGGAACTGGAAAAAAGTGGAGGAAACGGGGGCGCTCGATCCGAATAGAGGTGTATCGTGGCCGATGGCAGCCAGTTCACATCACAGTGCAGATACAGCAGTCGCACTCTTCATCTCCGCAGTCACATCCGAAGCAGGGCTTGGAAACAGACTTGATGGGCTTTTTAATCGAGCCACCGGAGCTGCTAGAAGGGAGGGTGAAGTTGAAAGGCTCGGAGACGGAGGTGACAGCCATGGTGGAGAGAGGTGTTGGAACTGGTATACATCGCGATTAGATGAGCAACACGATCAATACGAAATAACTTAGAAGCTTACCTCAGGTCAAAGCCTCGAGTCAAAAGTGTGTAGGGCTGAAGACAGCGGGTTGGGGAAATGAAGAAGGGAGGAGATATAGGCCAAGCAGGCAACCATATATCCTCTGTATCCCACTTTAGACTGAAACTGCCGAAATTAAAACCCAAGAATGAGATCGAATGCCCGACGACTTAGTCCTGGAAATATCTCCCACGCTGCTTTTTGTGTCGATCAAAACGGGCCAGCCACACACGTCACAGGGTCTACCTCATGAAGCCTGGGGAGACAATGAAGGTTGTACGAGGTTACAGGGAAAGTTGGACGGTTACGAAATTCGAAGTGTAGAATCAAAGCATGCAGTCATTGACAGTATGTACAGCAGCAACTTTTGAGGTGTTCATCAATCATCGCCACAGTGACCGGGGTATCGTCTAGTCATCTTGGGCTTCCAAGCCATATCCGTCTATCCATTATATATCCTTTTTGTTCATCAATCCATAACAGAAGCAGGCAGCCTTTACAGCTGCTCCACCCAGGGGGCGGCACCAGCCTGCATCTGGTTGAGCCACTTGACAAGCTCAATGAGCTCGGCGCGACGCTCATCCTCGAGCTGGTCCTCGTCACCAGTCAGGACAGCCTGGAAGACGGGGAGCAGGTTGGGGGTGAGTTCACGGATGGTGGCATCCTCCCACTTGTACATCTGGCAGATCATGCGGTAGAGGGGCTCGTTTTCCTCGAAGTCGTTCTTCAGGGGAAGAATGTTGACGAGAGCAGGGAGAACCTCCTTGGTGGGCACGCTGTCACGGTGGCGAAGGATCATGCGGCTGACACAGCCAGTGGCGTTGTCCTGCAGACGGGAAACATCCATCTCGAGGCAGCCACCGAGACGGCTGAGGATGGTGGGGAACTCCTTGGTGATCTCGGCATCCGCGTTGGAGTGCTGGACGAGACGACCAACGGCGTAAGCAGCGTTGGACTTGGTCTGAGGATCCTCGTCGGCCAGACGGTGAAGCAGCAGCTTCAGGAATGTACCAGTGAAAGGAGTCACGGCGGCCCCCATGCCGTTGATGCACTCAGCGAGAACACCGACAGCGGTGGCACGCTCGAGGGACTCGGTACTACCAGCGTAGCGGAGAATAGTCTTCTCGAATACCTTCCAGAGCTCAGCGAAGCTCTGACCCATGGCGGCGGCCATGCCGGAAACAACATCCAGGGCCGTGTCGACGACAACCCAGTCGAACTCGGAGGTTTCTTCGCCAGCCTCAAGGGTCTCCTCTTCGGGACCGAACTCAAGCTGGCAAGGGTGCTGCTTGGTGATGATGTCGGTCACCATCTGGATCACGTTGTGAAGCATGGTCTCATTGGCAATGAGGGCGGGACCGCAGAAGCGGAGATTCTCAGCCATGTTGCGGTTGATATCTGCGACAGTAGCACTAGTATTCACCATTAGCAATCAATTCTCGACAAATCGATGAGTGAATAAAAAGGTAGTAGGAATGTTTCTCAGACTGTAGACTTCGCCGTTTACATCAATCGCGACTTTTGCGCGTCAAAGTGAGCTGGGTTAAGCGGAAAAAGTTCATCATAGAAACGTGACGTGCAAAGGGAATAACGAAAGAAACAGGGTAATGTATAAAACGTACCGGTCGTCCTCTTCGGTCCACATCTTGACGGTGGCAGTCATGAGGATCTCGCCGAACTTCTGGACCTCCTTGGCAGGCTGGACCTGAAGGGGCAAGCCAGGCTGCCACTTGGGCATCTGGCCAGTCTCCTCGGCGATGGTGAAGAGCATAGCGTAAGAGCGGTGCAGAGTGCTGATGGTGCTCTTGCGGACACCCTCGTAAGGGTGCTCAGCAAGTGGCATGACAGTCTCGATGGTCTTCTCAAAGTAAGGCAGGAAGGAGCTACGAGTGTGGGTGACAAGGTCACCGATGACCTCAACAGCGATCTCTTTCTCGAGGGACATGGGTGTAGTGGCGGTAATATCATCCCAGTCATCCTCGTCCTCAAGATCGACATCCTCGATCTCACCATCATCCTCGTCATCAGCGCTTGCAACCTTGACCTTGCGGCCGTTGAAGGTGACTTCCTGGCCAACGAGATCCTTGGCGGAAGTGCCGAGGTCGACATCAAGGTCGTCCTCATCCTGCTCAATGCAGTCGAACAGACCCTTCACGACACCCTCAAGGAAAGGAGAGAAGTGCTCGCCGTAGACCTTAGCCATAGCACCCCAGAAGATGTAGGTGCTTTCCTTGAGACGGGAGTGACCAAGGTGCAGAGCCTCCTCAGTAGCGCGCATGAGAGGCTCAACGTAGGGCTGGTAGCGCTCGGGGCCAGCAGCGGCGGCCATCTCACCCATAGAGTCGGTGACACTGGCACGGAGGTCGAGCTCGTCCTCGCTGTCCTTGACGGCAGCGAACTCCTGGAGAAGGTGCATGGACTCGTCGAAGAAGGAGAGGAAGGAGTCACCGGCAGAGGAGGCCAGCGATCCAAGAGCACCGGCAGCAAGGGCCTTGATCTTGAAGTCGGGAGCCTTAAAGAGCTTGTGGAGGATAGGAACAAGCTCGGACTGGTAGGGAGCAACGTCCTTCTCATCAAGACCGTCAACGACGGCATCAATAGCGCTGATACCAGCTTTGATGATGTCGACAGTGGGACCTTCCTCCTCACCGTTGTACTCCTGCATGGCGCTGGCCAGGTTCTGGAAGAGCAGGGGCATGAGGCGAGCGTGCTCGGCGCTGAGGTCCTCAACGAGATCCTCGGCAAGGCGAGCGACAGCGTGCAGGGAGGCCTGACGGACCTTGGGCTCCTGATCGGCAAGAAGTTGGAGAACCATGGGGAAGATCTCTTTCATCTGGGTGCTGATGAAGTCAGGGGCACCCTCTACGCACATGCCAAGGGCCATGATACCGGCGCGACGGTAGTCAGGGTTGGAGTTGTTGAAGTATTGGCCAAGGGCCTGGAGCAGGGGAACAACGACCTGGCTGGGAGGCAAGCTCTGGGAGAGCATGTCGAGCAGGCCAAGGGCGGAGCGCGCAGGGGTAATATCATCATCACCAAGGGCGGTGTCACCGAGCTCCGTAACGATCTGAAGAGCAGTACGGGTGAGCTCCTCACCGATACGCATACCCTGAACCTTGAGCTTGCGGTATTGGATAGTGGTCATCAGGAAGCTGATGGCCTGGGTGCGGACATCCTCATCAACCTCGGTGTTGGCAGAGATCTGGTTCATGAACATGACCAGGTCCTTGAGGTGTACAGTAAGCAGGGCAGGGTCGCAGCCAAGCAGAGTCTGGAAGACCTCGAAAGTCTGCATGACGTGACCGTCCTCTTGCTGATCAATGGAGTCCTTGAGGATGGCAACCATGGCGGGGACCATATCCTGGAAGGCCTTGACGGGAGCCTCATCCTCCTCGGAGTCAAGGTGCATAGCAAGCTTGCTCAGGGAGAGCATGGTGTTGATGCGGACCTCAGCACTCTCGGGGTCGCGGATGGTCTTGTTGAAAAGGCTGAAAAGGTCGGAGAACTTCTCCTCGAAGCCCTCACCAATGGTATCCAGGATGGTGAAGAGAATGTAGATAGCCACGGCACGCTCGGCTTGGTTGCCACTGTTGCCAGCCTGCAGCAGGATGTTGGGCAGGTCAGCCCACTCGCCGTCGTTCAAGTCAATCTTCGCAACAGCGGAGATAATCTGAGCGATGGAGTGCTGGACGAGAGAAGAGCTCTCGCCCATGGTAGAACGAAGCAGCTGCTCACGGATCTGGGGCTTCTGGTCAGCAGAAACCTTCACCCAGTGCTTGGCAACGAGCGAACGCGACTCGACAGCAGCGAGCTGACGCAGGTTCTGGTCCTCATGGCTGGTGGCGATCTGAATAAGGAAAACAAGGGCCTCGGGCTTGTTGTAGTACTCCTTTTGCAAGATTCCGGTGGCCTCCTTGACGTTACCCTGGGTGGCTGTATGCGAGGGTTAGCGAAAATGTCCTTAGCTGCAGGGGGTCAAGGTATGACTTACGGTTCAGGATGACCTGCAATTGCTGCAGGAATCGTTGTTGATCCATGATGGATAGATATGAAATTTTTTCGGACCAACGGTCAGTTGTCCCAGGCCTTTACAAGCTCAGGCCAGTCGTAAAATTGAGCAGTTTGTCTTAGACAAACAACTCAAAGGGGGTATCACAAAGCAATATGGACAGAAAAAGAAAAGAAAGATGGGAGGAAGGAAAAAAAGGAGAGTAGTGGGGGAGAGAAGAAAACAGAAACGGAGCGGAAGAAAAAAAAAAGTTAGGGGAGTGGGTTGTCGCCCAATGGGGCTTAGTGCGGGAACAACAGTCAACACGCGATTTTGGCAAATTGAGATGACGTTGTGAATCGGCTGTTATGAAGGGATTGTAAGGGATAATATGTGAATATGTTAAGGGATATTAAAGGAACTAGTTCAATTCAAATGGCTATAGCTCCTGTATCCGAAATTGTCACAATCTCATGTATGAAGATTCCATCAGCTGCAATATTGAACAAAATACAGATCTAGAACCTCAAAATTTCTCCTAGTATCTGACCAAAACTCCATTTCACTCCTTAGCATGTTTGCATATGTGGCCCAAAAGTTTGCGCGACAAGAAAATTCTCAGTGCGCGTCGCGTACCGTGTACTCCATCGGGCATATATCCGGACGTTTCAGGAGACCCACACACTAATGCAGCGTCAAACCAAAGAGCCATCGCTTAATATTCTTCGGAGTCATAGCCGTCATCGACCAGCAATGAGCGGTAGCCGCGTGAAGCGAGATTGGCCTCTAGGCCACCGTCAGATGCAGGGTCAAAGTAACCTATATAATTGTTAGCAAGTCAACAAATTGAGGGCGGAGGAAAACGTACCACCGCCGCCAAAGTAGCTCAAAGCAACCGGCAAGAAGATGAGGGCATGGGTAGCAGCGAAAACAACCAGGGCCAGCCACACACGGAAGTAGTAAATCTCGAAAATCTTGCTCCGAGTAAAGGCTAAAACGCAAACACCCAAGAGCTTGGTGATGGTGATACCGCTGAAGACGCTTCCACCAACGTTAACCAATGCCGACCATGCTCGAGCATCCTTGCCGCGGAATTTGGTGGGCACTTTCTCCATAATGGGTCGAGCAGGGAACATGAATGCTCGAGCAATGTGAGCACAGAATTCAACGCCAATGCCTACGCAAATGACCAGGTTGACAAGAGACACGGCGTTCAAGGACACGCCCGCAATAGCCATCGTGCCAATGATATCGACCACTGTCATGACCACCGTGGTAGTAACGACAGCACCGGTGGCAATTGAACCCAGTAACACAGAGGTCAAAACAAAGATAATGGCAACGGCCGATCCCAAGAGTGTACCGGTGAGTCGAACAATGGAAACATATTGGTCGAAGAAGATATAAAACTTGGAGTAAGGGAAGACATCGATATCGTGCTCTTGCGAAATACCATCTGCAATCCGGCGAGCTGCAATGTACGCCTGAATAAACGCGTCCTGGCTCCGGAGCGGTGTATGACTGGTACGGAAATGACTTGCATCAATCGTGTCGTGCTTGTCATTAATGACCAAAGCGTTGCTGTAGGGGGCCTTACCACCCAGAGGACAAGAAGCGTCGGTAGGAGCATCAATCCATTTTTTAGCATAATGGATAAATTCGGACCCTTCCGGCATTCCATACAGAGAAATGTTCCATGGGGGAATCCGATCCTCGAAGCAAAGTTTGCCATCCTCTTTACAGCAGTCTTGCTGGGGATTCAACCAGTAGAAAAAATCATCAATCCAGCTGGCGGCAGAGCCTGCAAGATAGGACACGTCTGGACGCTTCGACTCTTGCTCGAGAATGAAAGGTAGGGAATATTCTTCGCAGGTAGTGAAGCGCCCACAGAGTTGTTGCTGGTGATTCCGCTGCGTGACATTCACGTTCCGGGTCACAAAGTAGACAGGAGGCCCGACGCCAAAATAATCATCTAGATCATTGAAGTACGAGATCAGGTACGAGTCACTAGGAAGTGCAATCCGCTGATCTAACCCGAGAGCAACCTTCGGAATGAGGGCCAGGCCAGCGGTCAAAAGGCCCAAGAAGAAAATGATAACACCAGCTTTCACCCGGCGATCCAGAATAAAAGGGGCATAAATACGGCGAATGAAGGTCTGCAGACTACTCTCCCCTTCTTGGTCATCGTAATCGTTGGGGAAACCGAACGAGCTTGCCTTTCGAACAGTGAGGCAAGGCAGACAGTCTGCACGAAGACTCTGGACGCGTCTCTGGTTCAGAGCCAATACGGAGGCGAACATCGTGACCTGCAGGATGGCGTTGATAAAGACAGCTCCCGCAGCATATGCCGCAAAGTTCTTGACCGCAGGCATACCGACGAAAGTACCTAGGGCAAAGGCCACAGTTTCGGTCAAGGCAGACAGGAAAATGCTGGGGCCGATCCGACTAACTGCTCGGGCTACTCGTTCATCAATCTCTTCATCGGGGTGACTGAGATTGACTCGCTCAAACTCGTGAACAATCAAAAAAATGTTATCCACGCCAACTGCCAGGACCAAGAATGGAATGACTTCGGCGATGATCAAGGTCACCTTGACTCCGGCCGCGGAGAACAGACCGACTGATGCAGACACCGACATCAAAACAATGACAATTCCCGCAATACCCAGTGTGAACTTTGATTGAACAAGAGCATTGGCCGGGTTCGTTAACAAAGACCGCCAAGTAACCGTAGCCGATCCTAAGGCGATCGAGGCGTAAAAGAACATGATCAGATAGCTGATGACGACGATTTTCGCATCGGTGTTGGTAGACTTGTTGAGTTCTTGCTCCAAGCTGACCTCGGAATTGAAGGAGACGCGAAGGCCTCGCTCTGCAGCTTCTTCTTGGACCACCCCCAAGATACCCTGGAAAGTATTCTCCCAGTCAATGGCCCTTGCTTCGCCATCTGTTCCTTGGGCATAGTTGTTCACCACCCAGGTGGTAATTAGAGCCTTTGAGTCTAAAAAGTTTCCTGTCTCTTCATATCCCCCAAGAATCATTTCTGGCTTGAGAGGCTGCGAGAAGTCAGGGAGACAGCTAGGGTCTCCAGGTGATTCAGTGCAGTGAGTCAAGCGGTCCATCCAGGTATCCGGGTCAAGGTTCCCAGCTGAGCCACCGAAATACCCAGTGACAGACTGCACAACACAGGCTTCACCGGTAGGCTTGAAGCAGATGTCGTCGAGGTTGAGAGCCAGGTTCACGGAGATCATGCGCCGCACACGGGACTCCACATCGAACCACCAGTTGAGGGTATCATAATCCAGAAGCGGTCTAGAATCGTTCGCTGGGCGGTCGTTCACCAAGAATGCTTGTTCAGCTCGGTAGAATGGACCAAAGTTCTGATCGAAGAAATCTTTCTCTTGGGCGGCTGCCGACGATGGACTTACCCACAAGCGAACAGGATCTGTCTCAACTGTGAAGCGCAGCCAGCCCAGGCTCAGTAGCACCACGACGATCACGCTGGAAGATGTTGTGATTGCCGGGAATCGAGCGCAAGCACCACCGATGCGATGGAATAAGGCGGATAGTAAAGAGTTAAGTTTGTACACCCCTTGTGGTTGTTCGATATACCCCCCATGGCGGACGACTTCCCCTTCATCCTCGTCATCGCTGGGCGTAGGGTCTTGCAGCAGGCGCACTCGCTCTGGTTTGCGGAACCGGCGTTCCTTGTAGGTCACATAGCTGGCCAGGGCCATCACGAAGAGTAGGAATGTGGAATATACCAAGATGACGGCAAAAGAGAGACACGGGAGGAGGCCCACGTGGCACGCATTGTGAGTAGACACGGCAGGTAACTCAGGGCATACATCTGGGCAGTCGACACAGGAACAGCGGAAAGCTTTGTCCGGGCCGTTGCAAGCCTTTGGTTTAATCGATAGAGCCTCCATGCCTTCTGAGTCTAAGCCAGTAGGCTCTGTATGGTAGTTGATCTGGAATGGACTTCCAAGGAATTTCTTGTCCCCCAAAAACTTCATAAAGCCTGCATAATCTTTTGCACCTCCTCCGATAAAATCGATGGCTTTGCCGCCGGATGCACCGTTTTTGACGCTTTTGCAGCTGTCATAGAAGCCGCTTTGGTACTCCTCGGACCAGATATTATCCAGCTCAGTCACCAATCTCTTGTCGCCTTTCTCTTCGGTTTTTGTCACATTGACAAAGAGTGACTGGTCGGGCGAGCAAGTGAAGGTACAGAAGATGTTGAAGAAGTTATCTCGGCAGGCCGGACAGGACGCGATAATCCCTTCGGCTAGTTTGAGGTTTTTCGCGAGTGCGTCAACCTATTGACATGTTAGCATCACAGGCATGTGATGATGAATGCAGTTTGGCGTAGGGGGGCAGAAACTGGGGTTATCATACCTGCTCATCCTTACAACAGACTGGACCCTCGCTCCATTTGCTGCCACATAAATTTACTAGCTTCTCGCGCACGGAGTTCTCCGGTTGCTTTGCCAGGTTATTATCAGGACATGGCAGCTCCCCTCCAAATATAGACTGTTTCCCACAATGTCCACGAATCGCACACCGGCCCTTTTCATGGATTTTCGTCTCACCCTGCGCAGCCACGACGATGGGCTGGAGCGCAAGAGAGCCCAGCCCAACGATCGCAGCAAGAGCCTCGGGCCACCGCATCTTGCGGTAAAGACCAGTGGTCGGTAGCTATATCGAAGATATCTGGCAAGGTGATGCTGTCAACAGCGATGACCGGCCATGCGCCAGTCGTACGGGGAGGAATGGAAGCTACGTCAGCTCGGAAAAGGTAATAAGAAACTCAATGATGTTCAAGAGGTTCAAGGATCAATAACTAAGGAGAATGAAGGATGAAAGACCGTGGAAGTCTTCAATGACAAGGGAGGAAACAAGTGACGTGAAGGCGGAGACTACCCGTGAACATCCCCCGCACGGTCACGCAAACAAGGAAGCTAACGTCAGGCACAACAAGCTTGCCTGAGTACATGTGTGGCGATGATTTGGTAATTTATTCAACTGTCTTGGCATTGTAAATCGGACCGGATAAACTGTTGATTATAACTGTTTTGTACTAAGAGACAGTTGGTAATATATATATATATCTTCTTGGAACTACCTTGTCTTTCACTTCAGCTTTACTGGGACACGGTGGGACGCTTCTCAAATGCTCATGATTCATTCCACTAATAAAATACAAAGAATTGACCGACTCCGAGCTGAACCGCATTCTATGAGCAGGAACTCCTAGTCTCAAAATAGAGACAAATATGACATCTGCACCGCCAGTGTTTCAGTTAGCGATGAGAACAGATGCAAGAGCTGAAGGAGGTATCATCAAAATAAAAATGAAAAAAAGACATAGCCGTATGCCCAGGGGGAATCATCACAATGAGGTCTGGCAACATAAAGCTTAGTAGCCCTCATCCTCGGCCTGTTGATAGGTGTGGCGGGTTCGGGTGGGATCTTTGCGCATCTGCTGACCAGAACCTGTGAACCCGACTGACAAAAGTTAGTAACGTGATACTCGAAGTAGAAAAGAGTACATACCTCGTGCGTTGACACCATCACCAGTGCGGAACATGCTGTCTTTCTTGCCAAACTTGCCCCTGCCCTTGGTCTTGGCAGCAAAATCTTTCCACTTGTTCTTGCCCTCCTCAAGCTCACGATTAGCCTTGACCTTGCGGGGTGCCTTGGCGGGACGAGCCGAACCATCGCCTTTGGCCTGGTCGTTACGAGCCCGGGTCGCCAGCGTAGGATTGATATCTGCTGCAGCGGAAATCACACCGGGGGGTGGGGCGGGCGAAGATGCCGAACTGCTTGAGGTTCCATCAGCCTTGCGCTTGCGAGAGTCAGTGCCAGAGATGGGTCGGATGTCCTTGGCTGTCAAGTTTTCCACGTTTGCATATGACTTGAATGAAACCAGGTAGACCGGGTTGGCCGAGGATCCGGTGATAGAGGTGATTTTGGCCGGGTAGAACGAGTTGTCGCCAGAGACCCAACGGGCCAGGACGTTGTCGTTGACTGAGAAATTCATGGGAGCAGGAGGGGCTTCCTCTGTCGCAATGGGTTTCCGGGCGGCATTATCTTTGTGTCGAGTGTCCTTGGGAGGAGCAGGGTTGGTCGGCTTGAGTTCGGCGATGGAAGTTTCCGTGAGGAGTATGAGTTCTTCGAGTTCAGTTTGGAGAGCCTGGAGTTCCGTGTTGTCGGGGTCTACCTGCAAACTCGATACAACGGTTTCAAGCTGATCATGTGTTAGTCCACATTCGCGCGCGAGGATAGTGTCTGGCTGACCTGAAGCTTAAATTCCTTCACCTCTGCCTCCAAGGCAGCGACATCGGCCATGATGGAAGATGGAATCTGAAGATACAACGATTTGGAGAATGGAGATAGAAGCGGAGGCAATGCGGAGATAATTCATGATCAAATTCGTGACTTCGCAATCACGTGATTATTCACCGCCTTCCTATGTCACCACCAACGTAACATAATAATGCCTTACATAGATGGATGGCCATGTCCAGGTAAGTATCTATCTAGCTCTAGAGGTAAGGACAATTCATGTAGGAGAAACATCGTTGGAGATACAATTGAACAACCCCTCAAATCAAGCCTGGTGTACGTATTCCGTACACCAACATGTATACAGTGAGTTCCCTGGTGGATATAGGTAAGAACCCTGGGGTTGTGATAAGCATAATCTCCTTTAACCCACTTTCGACACGCAAGAACCGCATTGGATATGCATCTTAGTCTGCTGATTCTTGTTTTTGTTGGGGTTTACAAACGGAGTAGGGATAGACATCTTAGGGTCTAAACGTCATAGACTGGAACGAGAACGAAGACGAAGGTACCTGGGAATGCCTATCATGACATTGGGAGGTCTGGCCTGATCATGATCGGATCGGATCCGACACTGGATCCCCGAGAGTCGGAGAATTCCATGGATGAGTCAGGTGTACGAAGTAGAAGCTTGAAGAAACTCCACCTTGGCCAGTGAGAGAAAAGAAACGAAAAGAAGTTTTGGCGCTGATTTCAAAGCATGGCAGATCGGTCCGAAGGGGCGACCCCGATGAACCAATCGGAGGGCTATATGTCTCACCGCCCGTGCGATCGCCTCTCCCCCCTCTATCTCATTCATCATTTCGCTCATACTGCAGTACTACCAACGCCCATCCCTCTCCCCTCTGACATTTGTTTCAGGCATCAGCCTCGTTCCAATCTTGAGCCACATTTGCCGCAATCTGCCTAGCGGGGATTTTCTTCGCCTCAGGCCCCTCAGCCTCTCCGATCCTTTCTTCCTTTTCCCCCTCCCCCATATTGCCCCATCCATCTCGTTTCTTGATTTGCGATCTGATATCAGTTATCTGGTATTGATATCTGATCTTGCCTCTGACTTCGCCTCTGATCTTGCATCTGATCAGAGCTGTTCAAGTCCAAGCTGTCAGGCTGTGAGACTCGAAGTCTGAATCATCGACCTCGCCCTCACGACTTCGATATCGTTACGGGCGGGAGGCCCGGTCTGCTACTTCTGTATTGAAATTTATTGATCCTCCATTGACATCTTCTGTCCCACCGCCTTTTCCCCGTACCATCTTGCCTTAAATCTGTCACAATGGGCGATTACGATCAACGATACCAGCGAGGTCTTTACCTGTCCCCAAATCAGCAAGACCTCCTGCTTGCCGCTCTTTCCTCCAACAACCCGGACCACAAGCATCAGAACGGGACTTCCCGGATCAAGACTAGCCAGAGCCCGGACCAAAATTCGTCCGGCCAGAGCGCCCCTCCGTCGGGCGGCTACGAAAACACCCCCCATGTAAATGCCTATGGTTTCGGAGATGACGAAAGCCCCTTCCTTGACTTTACTCCCGACGTCGATTTCGACTTCCCCGGCTCGGCTGATCTCATCGGCGACTTGCCAGGATCGGCCGACTATGAACTGGGCGAGAAGCGCAAGTCCCTCGACGGAAAGTCGGATCTCGAAGGCGAAGAGACTGGAAAGAAGCGCAGAGAGAGCGAGGCGAAGAAGCCTGGCAGGAAGCCATTGACCTCGGAGCCCACTACGGTATGACTCTCGAAAACTCTTGGAGGGTGAAATTCTGGGGCTAACCCATTGAGCAGAAGCGCAAGGCACAGAACCGTGCCGCCCAGCGAGCTTTCCGCGAACGAAAGGAGAAGCACCTGAAGGATTTGGAAGACACAGTGGAAAAGCTACAAAAGAACTCGGACACGGCGAACCAGGAGAATGGCTTGTTGCGTGCCCAGGTTGAGCGTTTGCAAGTCGAGCTCCGTGAGTACCGGAAGCGCTTGTCTTGGATGGCTTCAGGGACAGGTAACGGCATCTCAGCTATGAGCTCAAACTCAATCCCGAATGCTCCGTCCAAAGGCTCGTATGGCCTTCAAAATAACGAGTTCCTGTTCGATTTCCCCAAGTTTGGTGATTTGCCGGGCGGTCATCTCTTCAACGGACAGGCCAAAGATCAATCCAAGTCCAATCAAAAGGCCAATGACAACAACAACCGCGCACCCGGTGTCTTGGGTCGCGACAGTCTGAATGGTGCTTCGCGACCTAACGGTGCTGGCTATGCCTCGTCAAACAGCGCAATGTCGGATGGAACCTCCAACAGAACGCCCCTCAGTGCTACTTCTGCTAAAACTTCTTACTCTGGGTTGAAGTCCTCAGCACCGACACACGACAACACCAACTCGGATTCTCCTTCATCTTCCTCCGATTCGCACCAAAGCCAGCTGCTCTCGTCTAACGGCACATCTCCTGAGCCAAGCTTGAACTCTCCCCCAGATGGCAAGCAGCACGAATTGGGACCAGGTGACACCTGCGGAGGGCACCTTACCATCGATGGTGAGAAATCTTTCTGCGCGCAATTAGGCATGGCCTGCGGCAACATCAATAACCCCATCCCAGCATTGCGGGATAGCAAGGGCAAGTCCCACAGTTTCTCAAGTAGTCTGCCTCCAGCTGAGGCCACAGTCCCAGCTGATGATACACAAGATCTTGGAATTGACTGGCTGGCTCATCAAAATGGCGGCCAGTTCGACCCGGTGCTCTTTGGTGACTGGCGAGAGCCTCAGGACGCTGTGCTCTCTCAAGACTTTGGCTCATTCTTCAATGATGCCTTCCCTCTGCCAGACCTGGGCAGTCCGTCTCACAACCTCAGTGAAGTCGCCACTGACTCGGCACCTAAGAAGAGTTTGATCAGCCAGATTGACAGCAGGCAAGAGGAGGATGAAGTTGTTCCAGGAGAAGACCAGTCGCAGATGTTGTCGTGCACAAAGATTTGGTTTGTTCCCCCTGCAAGATTTCCTATCTGTCAGCTACTGACTCGTTATCTAGGGATCGTCTCCAATCCATGGAAAGATTCCGCAACGGCGAGATCGACGTCGACAACCTCTGTTCCGAGCTCCGCACCAAGGCACGCTGCTCTGAGGGCGGTGTGGTCGTGAACCAGAATGACGTTGACGACATCATGGGCCGAGCCAAATAGCTTGACCACATCTACGGTCATCGCTAGACCCTTAATTCACGATTCACGGCAAACACCTCACTGATACTCGCGCTCTTGTTTCAACGCATACCCAACATCGATCAAACATGGAACCCACACGGCATTACGAACACAGCAGGATAAAAGGAGGAACAAACTGGACAGGCCAGGAATTCCAACATTTGGATATTCGGTCTTGGACTTTGATTTATTTGAACGCCTATGGCAAACCACTATCCTTCCCAATGGAACACAAATTCCTATCCTCTTACATCGTTATCACTTTTTGCTATATGCACCATTTTCCCCGTTTCAGTAATTTGTTATTTGGACTTCCATCTTGTTCTTGAGATCGGCGAATGGAGACTCGGTTCGACACGCAGGTGGCCATCTTCTTGAGTTATTTACATACGGGATGGCGCTTCCATTTCCTATTGTACGGAGGGACTGCGGATACGGCGAACTTGATTTTAAGGCCGGGACTTGCACTCATTTAAGAGTCTGTACTTTTTTTGTAAACAATCAATTCCCTTTATTGGATTTTGGCAACTATTTCCTGACATCTAGTCCAGTTAGATTGAGGATACAACTGAAATACATGGACTAGACTTGGAGTAGATGATCTACTGTGTTCAAGAACATAGAGCGAAGCTGCTAGGGTATCGATGTGTCTCCACGGAAATAGAACTAAAGTACAAAAAGAAAGGTGGCATGGTGTATTCTTTTTTTTCATGGCTTTTTTTTCTCATTTTGCTTTCTCTTCCTGCGTTTTTTCCACTCGTTCCGCGAATGCTCTTTCCGCAGACTCCACCACTTCACCATTCAGTCATTCCCTGAGTCCACCAGGCTAGGAGCCATCCAAGATAACCGTCTTAGATAGGCCCCGAAGAATGATCAAGTAAAGCACGTCAGGCTCAGGAAAAAAAGGGGGAACTGCAAATATGACGGGATAAAAAGAACCACAAGTATTAGAATATTGGGTTAACATCAAGGGGCGTGCGAAGACTAGGGCAATCGAGCGAATCTCGACGCCCAAGAGAAATATCAAAACGAGAGAGTCCAGGTGTCACCGCTTAGGCGTCAGTGGACTGGGCCGGCTTATCACCGGAGGGAGTAGAGGAAGCGGGAGAGTCGTTTGAGCCCGCGCCGCTCTTGAAGCCTCCACGAGCACCTCCCCGGCCGCCACGGCCACGCTCACCACCTCGGCCGCGGCCCCGTCCACCGAAGCCACCACGGCGAGCTCCCTCGCTGTCACTGGCGCTCTGGTATCCACGCTGGCCTGCGCTAGCTCCACCCCGAGTGCTGGCTTGCCAGGTGCCGGCGCCGCCCTGGGCACGGTTGTTGCCGCGGTCCTCGAAGTACTTGAAGTTGGGCTTGCGGGGTTGGCCTGGAGCAACATTGATAACCTTCTTGTGTTCGACGGGAAGATGGTCAAGCATGGCCTTGGCCTCCTCGATAGCCGAGAAGGTAACAATGTGGTTGAACTTGCCGTACTTCTCCACCTTGACGACCTTGGACTTGTCCTCTTCAGGGATCAAATCACGAACGGCCTGCTCATTCTCGACGTTGGACACAAAGAGGATGTTGCTGGGCTTCTTCTCACGGGGACCAGGAGAGTCACTGGGCTTTTCGGTGGGGTTGTTTCCGTTGGTGGTTGACTCCGCCGCCTTCTCCTCGCCGGCTGGCTGAGCAGAGGTAGTGGTAGGGGGCTGGGGACTAGCGGACTTGGGGATAACGGGAATGGGGGAAGCGCGAGCCTGTCCCTTTTGGCCCTGAGGAATGGGAGGACGAGCAGGGGGAGCCTGGCCAAACTGAGGAGCTACAACGGGGGTGCGAGCAGCACCAGTAGGGGCAGGAGAGGCAGTGGTGGCAGGAAGACCGCTGGAGACAGGTTGAGGAGCACCGCCGGCCTGGGGCTTGCCACTGCGGTGGGCAAAGTTGAAACCCTGAGCCCGCATCTCTGTAGCAATGCGTCCGCCCTCAATCTCGAGGACCAGGTAACCGAATGCAGCATCTGCCAAGTTGAAGTTCCACATGTTCTTGAAGGCACTCTCGTCGACCTGACCAGCAGCGTTGCCGGCGGCAACAGGGCCACCGAAGGGGTTGCCGCCGTTGGCGATGGAGGGCATCTTGGCAACCACATCTAGGGCGTTCTCTAGAAGAGTCTTTTGGCCATCGTTAGAAGAGATAGCAGACTCAACCTCACTGCGAACAGTCTCCCAAACATCAGTGAACGAAGCCTTGGAGGCAGCGAGCTTGCCACGGTAGTGATCGAGAGATGGGTTGACGGAGAACTCGTTGTAGGAGGAGCCGTAGCGGAAGTGGAGACCGGCCGAGATCGAGAAATCGGCCTTCAGGGTGACAGAGAGTTGGTTGAGCATACCCTCACGGGCGGGGGAGGCGTGAGTGACGAAAACACGCGTCTCCGAAGGATCGTAAACCCGGTTCGCTGTGTCGATAAGCTCGCCCATCTGCAGTAGCGTTGTCCACATGGTTCCCTGTCCACCTGCGATAGTCGTCTTTCCTTCACCGTTGTCGAACAGCTTGTGCATAACCACGGCACCGCCCAGACCCAGCAAGCGAAGCTTCACTCCACCGATATCGAGCAAGCGGGAGTTGGCTTCATCAATAATATGCAGCTTATCCACTTTGTACTCGCCGGAGCGGAATTTCTCCAGCACGCGCACATCTTCGCAAGCACCCCAAACTGTGTATACCGGCACGTCGAGGGTGATTCGCTTGTCAAGAAGCATAGAAAGCTCGGAGAGGGGTAGCTGATCAGCGGGGAATCGCTGCTTGATGGATTGCTGAGGGGGGACCTGTGCGATTGACCGCTTCACATTCTCGGGTAGAAGAGGAGAGTATTGTGCAACGTGCTTCAAGGTCCTGTTAGATTCCCAGGTTAGCTGATGCTCTTCGGTCTCGTTACGGTGGACGTTCGCTGCCCAGTGACGAGGTGACGTATTGGGCAGCAAGAGTCGCGCCAGACTGATTGCAAGGTAAACTTACTTATCCGCAATCCGCTCCAGTGAGGTATCATCGTAGAAACCGAAGTCACCCGTGTGGATGATGTGGTCTGCGCGAGCCTGCTTGGCCAGTTCATTCAGAGACTTCAAGTTTCCTGTTGCACGGGCCCATTAGTCCATGGTCTCATCCTTGATTTCAAAATAACACCACCAGAGGCGACCTACCTCGTACATCCGCAATACACAGAATTCGAGTGGGACCGCTTTGAATCACTCGGCCATTGTTAGGGAGAAGCGGCGTGGCACCGGGGACGGGACCGGCGGCCGCACCGTTCGCGAGAGGGTAGCCTTGAGGACCGAAGTTGTGAGGGCGGGGCTAAAAGAGAGAAGAATAACCGCGTTAGCTTTGGACTGTCGTGTCTCGCAAGTGTCGCGCATCTAGAAGCTGTTCCTAGGGGAAACGGGGTCAAGGAGCCACGTACAGAAGCCATGAGTGTCGTGTTATCAAAGGTCGAAGGTGATGGAGGATGGAGGGTATTGGCTCAAGAAGGGGGAAATGAAGAGGGAAGAAGTGGAAATGGAATCGAAGGGGAACTTTCGATGGAGATTGACTTTCCATGAAGCAACAGGCGTGATGCTGAGTAAGCCCCCTGGCAACAACTTTTCCCCATTGGGTCTACCTGGCACCTTACTTCTTTGTCTGTTGTTTATTCTATGCAATTGTTGCCTTCTGATTGTCTTTGCTGTACTGCTTATACCCCAAGGTATTTGCCTAGGTAGGCTATGGAACATGTTGGACAGGATGTATGCCTCACTAGCTTGACGGAACTGGTTGTGGTATGACCATTTCGCAGATCATTTCAACATAATCTTAGATTTACACCCAATAATACTTAATATGCATGCCCGAAGGGATCTACCGTACAGTATTCCTACCAGAGAGTCAGTAGAATGGAATGCATACCGTATATACAGCTGACATTCATGCTTCCAGCCTCAACGAAGTCAAACGTAGCATAGCTATTGCATCAATATCATAGCTCATGAGACTCAAACATATGGTTCTGTCCATGTGTCTTTTCTGCAGACTCAGACGCTGGTCTATGAGCATGACTCGACAAACACTCAATAGACCTCGGCCCCTTCAGTGCCAACAATGCGAAATGACCGCCGACAGTTGGACGTGCTCGACACAAAATGGGAACACCGGGCTCATTTCCGTGTGCAGAGGTAGCAACATATCGATCAGAAAATGGCCAGTTGTGCTTCCCATTGGTCATGAAAGCCCACAGGTCATCGACGAACTCATCCCGAGTGCTCGTATCAAAGGTGCCAGCCAGCCACATATTCCAGTCTGACTTGGCCCAATCCTGACGATTGTCGAGTGGAACACCATACTCGCCCCGAACAGTTGCAAAGAAGTCACTGCCCATCCGGTAGGCAGCATCGGGGAACGTTTTCAGGTCCAGCAAGACATCCGGGAAGAGGTTGTACGGGGTCTTCCAGGTTTCTGGATAGTCAGGATATTCCAGCACAAAATGTGTTTTCTGTATGTCTGTCCCCAGACCTTTTTCGAAGAAGAGACTTGCGTGCTCTTCTCCAATACGAGAGTAGTACTTGTTCCCACTCATCTCCCCGAATGCTTTGAGACCAACCGCCGCTTTGATTGCCAGATTTGTCTCATTGGCGAGTGGCCCAGCTGCGTCATTGGAAGAGAGCTGAGTCGCAATATTGATGCTATTGTCAGCCAAGTAGTCGGCATACTCCTGGAAGATCTCCGTGTACTGTGAACTCCATTTGGTATCCCCGGTGGCGTAAACATATGCAGAAGCTAGAACCAGAAGGTTTCCACACTCCTCAATGGGCATGGGCTCTGCTTGCTGGTCATCATGTCCAATGGCATGAGGATAATGAGTGCCAAGATCATGGATAGCGTATGGCAGATGCCAGCGACCAGCAGCAAGATACTTCATCACGGGCTCCAGTAGCAGGCGAATGTAATCCGGGTCCATGACATAGTAAACTGGGAAAGCGGGCATAATCACATCGATAGTGTTGATGTTTCCATCACTGGAAAGTTCTTTAATAAAAGCCAACACGTCGTTGGTGTCGAGCGTGTCGTTGGAGATAGTCAAATCGATACCTCCGTATGCTTGTCGAGTTGACAAAGCGATGATATCTGCATACTTGGGACCTGCAGTAGCCGCAGACAAGGTGACGATTTCCATATCGAGCTTCCATGACTCCAACAATGCGTTGCCATAATCGTCCAAGAAGAATGAGAGCGCACTTGAGGTTGTCGGGTACTGGGCCCGATAGTAGCCAGTATAGGCTTCTCCGAGAAAATTGATGGCAGCATTCCTCTCGTAGCCTACCACAAAGTTTACAGAAAGACCATCTGTGACATAACCTAAATCGTGAACTAGCGCGACGACACTTCCATCACTCCAAGTGTCGTCTTCTCCAGAGAGCGCACCGAATTTCGCAAATTCACCACGCACTTTCTCAGGCTTTCCCGAGAGAGCAGATACTGCGCTAAAGTTAGAAGGACGAGAAGCCAGGATCGCTTGACCCCAAAGAGCCATGTCATCTGCCTCGGCATACAGTGGTGCATCTTCAACCGTAAGTGAGTAGATGGCCAGGTCACCCTGCTGTTCGAAGTCACGCTGCGAGCGACCTGCCTTGCCGGTCCACCTGGCATCAATATCCGAATAAACTTGGATATTCTGACCCTTTGATTCAGACACATGTACAGTCAAGTAACCTGATCTCGGTTAGTACAAACAACGAAACAACAACTGAACGAAACCCACTAAAGGAAAGCGACTGCCGAAGATAATTCGATGGAGAAACCGGCGACAAGAAATCCAGCGTGACCTCCGCAGAACCAGCCATGAGGTCAAAGACAGAATGCGTGGCAGTAAACTCGGCCCGACGCACGATCGCAGGACGTATATCACTTGCTTCGGGGTTTGGAACACCCATCAGACTATACGCCTGTCCATCAACACGGACAATAACCGACCACCCAAGGTCCTGACCTGCCCAGAACTGGGGTTCAGAGTAGGGTAAATGCTGGACCCTGTCGCTGGGCATCCATGCCGACAAATATGGGTTGCGCACTGCTAGCGGGTAAGATGGCGGGAGTACTGGGTGGTGTGTTACAGAGCCTGAGTCCTGGCCGGAGAAGAATGAGAATACTGAAGCGCAGAGGGAGCCTAGTCCCAGTGGACTTTGTAGATTGAATCGCATGTTCAGAGGGACCAGCCCTGTAGCAGTGAGGTATGTTATGAAGCGCTCCAGGCAACTGAGTATCGAAACGCACGATGGTTTAACGATGTTAAGGTAGTTGCAGAAGTATAAAGTATGTCAAGAACTGCGCCCCTTGCCGATCAGCTGGCGTCATCTCGAGGAAACCCCACACTTTCAGTCCATACTTATCTTAGTTAAGTCATATACATGACTTAGTTAATTACTTAGTTGGTTATTTACTTAATCTATCCTTGACGAGTCTGAAGCTTGTAAGACTCATAGGCTGGGGAGTATACATTTCGGGTCTGTTTCGTACCAGAAACAGTTCAAAGTTTCATTATTCATCTGATTTTTCTAAAACATCCTACAGCTGGGCCTTCTCAATCCGGCGTCCAATCTCATCGAAATGAATCTGTTTTCCAGACACAAGAGACTCCTGAAGGTAAGAACCAATCTCAACAGCCTTGACGGCATTGGTCAACTTCATAGGAAGCGGCGTGTTGTCCAGGCAGGCTGCAGTAAAGTCATTGGCCTCTTGCACAAAGGCCGGGCTGAAACGACCCATGAAGTTGGGAGGGATCTCGCGAGTGATGCCGCCGGAGTGGTAGAGGTTGACAAAGTTGCGCTGCGGATTGCCGTTGACGGTCAGCTTGCCCTCGGTGCCAATAATCTCAGTGGTGTCTTCCTGGCCGGCAGCCATCATGCGGGAGCAGTAATAGTAGGCAATCTTGCCATTCCAGAACTCCACAATGCCGACCGCATTGTCGTAGTCATTGTATTTCTTGAGCTCCGGTTGCACTGCGGTGATACCATGGGCAGAGATGCTTTTGGGGAGGACATCATCACCGAAGAACCACAGACTGAGATCAATGTCATGCACTGACATATCGACGAACACACCACCGGACCACGCGGCGTATTCAACATAGAAGCCCGAGGGGTCAAACTTGTCGCAAGTTTGGCTGCGGATAATGGCTGGTCTTCCGATGAGGCCCTGCTCCATCTTGGCATGGGCATCCCGGTAGGAGTCATCGAAGCGTCTTGAGAAGCCGCACATCACCTTTAAGTGAGGCTTCTTCTGGGCAGCTTGAACCACTGCTCTGCACTATAATTGGATATGGATCAATATTGGCTATGAGTCTGAGGAAGCATATAGAATCATACCACTTCGACATCAGTGGACAATGGCTTCTCGCAGAGAACGTGGAGGTCTTTCTCAATGGCCTTGATAGCCTCCTCAGCGTGAACAGAGGTAGCAGTTCCAATAGCCACGGCCTGCAAGCCGGGGTGCTTGAGCATCTCATCGTAATTGGTGTAAAGAGTCACACCGTGCGGCTCCAGGTTCACTCTTCCCCATGCAATTTCAGTAGGGTCGGGGGTGAAAGCTGCAACTAGTTCTGCCCGGGGAGTCTTCTGAAGAAAGTTGGTGGCGTGCAACTTCCCGACACGACCTAGGCCGGCCATACCAACTTGAAGCTTTTGAATGCCCATTGTGTTGGAGGTATTGGAAGTATTGGAAGAAGTCGAAGGGGATTGATGGTTGTCTTCTGTTTTCCTCGTCCCGTGAAGGGGTTTAAATAGCTTTGAGGGCAACTCTCCTGCATTTTGAACATACCACTTCCGATCTCATAGGCAAAAATCCCCGTGAGAAATGGTGGAAGTGGGACATGAGATACACGGAAAGAATTGCCGGGAAAAGCAAAAGCCAAGTTCCCACTTCAACGTAGAGAGTGACGGAGGAAGTGATATGCACACGCACAACTATTATACACCCAATTAGGATAGTGTGCCAGGACCTACATTTCGCTTACTCAATTGGTCAAAATGTCGCATACTAACTCAACTAAGACAGGAACTTTGCTTATATAATCACTATGCGTGCACGTATCAACACATTCTCCCCGCAACTCCAACTTCCACTTCCACTTCCACTGCCAATGCCGCATGTCAATGAGAGTAGTGGGTCATTATTCCCGGAAAGAATCCCCATCTTTGCTGTTTGCTCAGACAGCAATTCGTTCCACGCAAATGTCTCCATGTCGTCCAAGAGAAGTCGCCTAGTGGCTGGCTGGTAGGTCATAGATTATCCCGCTCTATGCACGATATGAACTAATTGATTTGCTCAGCCAACGATGTCGTGGTAAGTGTCTAGGGGGTGAATTGAACTAATTGCTGACCACTACATAGTCCGACACCTGAAGTGTAAGCTACATTGTACCTGGAATGGCACACTTGACTAAACTGGAAATCAAGGCGATCTCAACGACCAGGATTGCGGGCACTGTCAACACGCTGGCGTCGAATGTGATCGAACCAATATCCGGTTTCGCAATGGTCTTTTGCTCCCCAAAGAGCCTGAACTTGCGTTTCCGGATCAGAGTAGCTGGCCCCGACTACATGGCCAAGGTTTGTACTTTATGTGATCTGCCGCAATCAATCTAACTTATGCTCTAGTGCGCTTCCACAATGAAACTCCCGAGATCGCCAGTTTGTACTCGGCTTTTCCGCATGGCGAATCAACTGTCATTGGTAATTCAGAGTACGGTTTGGCGCTCGGAGAAAGGGAGAGACCCGAAATCCAGAATGTACAGCAGAGTATACAACCATTTGCAGCTACTGCCTTGACGCCAGTCCCAACTCGCGCTGCAGAAAGCCACTCACCGTCCATCTCATCGTTGTCTTCTCCAAGGCCAGTACAGTCTAGATCATCATCAAAGCCATTGTATTCTCTGACTGAAAGAGAAGCTGTGTTGATGAGAAACTTCGTTGAGAACATGGCCCTTTGGGTGCGTATTTGCTTAGCTGCGAACCGATTTGCGACTGACAACTAGAACCTCAGGCTGACATCACGGACCCCCAACGGCACTTTGAAACAGAAGTTTCAGCTCGCGCATTAAAAGAGCCTTTCTTACGTTATGCGGTATTTGCATTTTCATCGCGCCATCTTGACCGGCAGGATGGCAGTGATGTGACAGAAGCACTGCAACATCACAATTGCTGTGTTCAACTACTCATTCCGGCACTCTCTGAGCCTCGAGAACATATCACTGAGGACATTCTTGCAACAGTTGCTATACTTCGCCAGCATGAGGAAATGGACGGTACGCATACCGGCAGCCGTATAGCTCATTGGCACTAACACTCTCTAGGGGAGGATAATCAATTCCATCTTACCGGCACGACACACATATTGAACACAGTATCAACCTTTGGCTCTTCAGGTGGCTTGGGGGAGGCCGCAGCTTGGCTCTGTTTGCGTCAAGACATCTATATCTCTCTGACCACTCAACGGCCTCTCCGAACTGATCTGCAAAGTTTTTATCAATCCGACGTGTTTCGAAGAAATGACGATTTTGCATGGTCTAGCCGAATGGTTTTCTTGTTAGCCAAAGTTCTCCAGAGCGCTTTTACCGACTCTGCGACAGCACATGGCATAGGAGACGAGATTGACGAATGGTACTCCACTAAGCCATATACATTTGAGCCTGTCAGGTTTGTTCCACGAGGACCGGAGCCCGACCAGCGATTTCCGACCATCTGGATGCTATTGCCCGTACACGGTAAGTGATGCCGGTACATTCGAGAGATCCAGACTGATTTGCTAGTCATCGGCATTCAATACTTCCACCTCGCCAAGATTGTCTTGGCGCTCTCGGAGGGATCGAACGCATCATCCGCCTATGAAAGGCTACGCCACTCTCGAATAGTGGAGGTTCGACCATTTCTTCTGTATTTTGTCGGTCGGAAATACTCACAATGCTACAACGCTAGAAAATTGTTCGTCATCACCTGCTCACCGTGCTGGGTCTGGCCCATTCAAATAGCAAGGCTGAAAACACCCTGTTTACTGCACGGCATAGTCTAGTGGCCTGTGAGTTACCAATGCCATTTCAGCTCGCCTTGTACTAACTAACTCGGAAGGGGGATGGGTCCTTCGGCATCGCCTAGATCAACGGGCTGCGGAGGCTCTATTGCAAGCCATGCATGCAAGGACCGGCTGGAATATGGATTCGCTCATCCAGTCATTGCGGGCACAGTGGCAGGAGGTGGATGATGATTGACGATCCTCGTGCCAGCGCCAGATTCGTGCCCACAAAGAAGTGCCGTGGGTTACTGCAGCCGATCTAGCGGCATATCCGAGCGCAAGAGAAGTATAGCAACTATACCCGACAAAAAGAACGAACATGCTATAAATGTCCAGTTCATGACCAAAGTTCAAGCCCAGGAAGTCCAAGAGTCCAAGAAGTCCGAGTGTACATCAAGTGTCAATCTTCACCTCCTTCGGGACGTCTGGACTCGGGGCCTTGCATCATTGTAAGGGGGAAAGACCCACCACATTATTTAAATCACCGCGCGTTCCTGGACGATCATCCTTGGTTCTTCTCTTTCTACTCTTCTTCTCATTTTTACTCGGCTTACTCGATACTCTATTCTCTCGAACCTCCAACATCTACGAACTCTGCAAGCGCCACCCTTGTTCAACCCCGCAAATCCACTAGCGTGTGGAGGCGTTTTACCCCAGACCGCGTGACAACCAAGACACTTTTGCCTCAGGAACTACAAATCTGTGCGCAGGACTGATTCTGATCCCCCAAAACCTCAAGCCTCTCTCAGATCAACTTCCTATATAGCATCCACCATGCAAAGTCCAATCCTCTCCTCCTCTATCATCCCCACAATGGGCACAAAAGAGTGCGCAAGCACCCCAACCTCGCCCCCACTCTCAAGCGCAATTCCTCCGTCATACAACGATGTGAGCGGCGCAGTCGTCATTGGCGCCGACGGCAAGCCTCATTTTCTATCCGCAGAAGAAGAAGTGGACCGGCGATTGCGACTGGAACAAGCAGTCCGCGAAAAGATGCTAGGGCTACCACGAACAACGCAATTCGAATGGCCACAAGGTACATCAACCGAGCAATTACCGGCCTATTCACCACGGGAAGAGAAGAAATGATTTGGTTGCATGTATCTTGGAGATACACATTGAAAGCGAGCGAGATACCCGGACTACACATGTATATAATACCATACCCACTGAACAACAACTTGATTGAATGCACAGAGATTCGCCTTTTATTTCATGGCCGTAACCACTATAGTACAAAAAAGATGCGTATGTATGTAAATGTGCAGACCTTCTAGTTTCGGAACAGTCGCAAACCACTTTCCTCACGGTCATCATCCTCCGCCTCGCTCCCACTCTCATCGCCCTCACCGAGGACGCCACTAGCCGTCCGACCAAGTAGAGAAGCGAAGAACTCGTCGCGCGCGCGCGTAGTCCAGGAAGCCCGATCATCAGGAGCCATGAAGTTCTGCAGCTTCTCATGCACAGTATAGCGCATCTTACGACCCTTGGAGGCGCGGGTATCGACATCTCGCTTCACCTTGTCGTTGCGCATACCAGTGACGGGGTGGATGGGCAGACGGGAGGGCAGGTGGTGCAGGTCGAGGCCGTTGGTCATAGCCTCGGAGGAGGACATGCGCTGCTCAACGAGGTCTCGGAGAAGGGACTGGTAGAAAGCGCCGTCGTCGTAGAGGGGTTCTTGCTGGTCGGACGAAGAGCGGGCGCGCTTGGAGGATCGATCGCCGATCTCTGTGGCGACTTGGGCGTCGAGGACGGCTGTGATGGTTTGCTGGCGGCCTGCAGCGCCGAGGAGCTTGCCGCGGGCATTGGGGAGAGATGCAGAAGTGCCTCGGACCTTGGAGGACCATTTGTCGAGAATGGAACGGCGGTGGGAGATGGATTCGGATTCCAATTCGGACATGCGCTCCCAAAGTGAAGCGGTAGTGGTGGTGGGAGAGGCGGAGAAGGGTCTCTTGCGCTTTTTGCTGTCGTCTTTGGAGTTGGCGTCGGCGAGGGCGGATCGCAGACCCTCCAGAGTCGACCATAACGCTAGAGCTGCTGATTCTGCCGATTTGATCGCTTCCTCGTCGACCATTTCGTCATCGCCGTCCACGTTGTCTCCATTTTCGTTAAATCCCAAAGAAGCGATACTATTCACAGCCGTCAATCCACTCTGGAGCTTGATACGGGTGTTCAGCAAGGCATCAAAAGTAGCACGCTGCTTCTTCACAGCCTTGCCCTTGGTAGCATCGGCCTTGGCCGCTGAAGAAATCGTCGCGGCAATGGACTTTTGGTCTGTGGCCATCAATCTTCGAAGTTCATCGCGGTCACCCGAGGCGAGGGGGCTTATTTCGGCACTCTTCTTGCTCTTGCTGGACTTGTTTGGGCGTGGTTCTTCCTCCTCAGATTCCTCGCTCTCATCGTCCCTCTCTTCGTCGGAGCTCTCCTGATCCAATTCATCCTCCTCGTCGTCGCCCGATTCTTCGGCATCCACTTCTGAGCCGAGATCTGAGCCTTCGTCGTCAGACCCGCTCTCCTCGGAGCCAGAGTCTTCCTCGGAACGAGCTGCAAATGGATCATCGTCGCTGTCAGCGCCTAGGGCGTCTCTGCTGACACGGGCGCCTTCATATTGTTTTCCAAGGGCGACGGGGTCTTCCTTGCGGAGCTTTCCTTTGCTATTTCGGTTATTAGTATGTGGTATGTCATTGCACACAGCTGAGTATTTCTCACTCACCCCACAGCTTGATAATGCTCCCGTCCGGCGTTCTCGTCAGGCTTCTCGACATCTTCGTCATCGCTTGACTGGCCGCCATTCTCGATATCCTCGGGATCGAAATCTAGGTAAGAAGTCAGCATTGTAAGTCCCAAGGCGACATATCAAGAGCGGTCATACCCTTAGGTGTGGGATCTTCAAAATCAGCCAGCTGATCAGCCAGCGAACGTGTGCCTTTCCCCATGCTGTTGCTTGTTTGCTATGGAGAAAAGAAGATTGCTTCGCGACTTTTTTTTTGCGGTTTTTCCGGATAACGGATCAACTGGCCTATCTGGGACTAGCGGCAGGCGGTCTACGCCTGTGGCCGCCACGCGGTCAGTGCGCTGGGCGGTCGGAGCTAGTATCGGCAGTATCGATTATCCTCTCAGCTTCATGAACTTCAGTTCATATATTGTTTAGTCCATTTCTTAATCTGCCTTGCAATTGCCGATATGCTGGCATCTCCTACTCGTGGAGCTGCCATGCGTGTGAGACTATTTTCCACCTGCAGGGTTCTACAACATGAAAATCCTCTGGTCAGTTCTTACATCATTCTCGGAACTCTGTTGCTGCTTCAATAGTGCATCGACTGTGTCCAGAAACCCCCAAGCTATAGAAGGCTCAATTGATAAGGAAACTCAGCGGCTAACTCTCAACAGGGACTCCCGCGCTCTGGAACCCCTCCGTCCTTCCGTTCTCGTCGCAATCTCCCCGAAAAGCGGAAGATTCGAGATGTCAAGAAAGTTGTTGCAGTCTCGTCAGCAAAAGGTGGTGTGGGAAAGTCAACAATAGCAGGTGGGTCATTTTATCTTGTTATATGCGCCTCAACTCCAGTCGCAATGCAAACTCAGAGAGCAAATTGATTGAACAAGAGCTAATGGTATACTTCAGTAAACCTCGCGCTATCCTTCGCGCGCCGGGGCATTAAGACAGGTATTCTGGACACTGATATCTTTGGCCCATCTATTCCAACTCTTCTCAATCTCTCTGGCGAACCTCGTCTCGATGAAAGTGAGTCTCTCGTATTAGATCACCATCCGAGCGCATGCATCGATCAAAATACTCACATAGCCACTAGATAACTGCCTCGTCCCATTAACAAACTACGGCCTCAAATCCATGTCAATGGGCTACCTCCTCCCCCAAACACAAGCCGACAGCACAACAGGCGAACTACCAATGGATACAACACCAATCTCATGGCGCGGACTCATGGTCACAAAAGCAATGCACCAACTCCTCCACTCCGTCTCCTGGGGACCCCTCGACGTCCTAGTCCTAGACCTGCCCCCAGGAACAGGCGATGTCCAGCTCACAATCAACCAAGAAGTCATAATCGACGGCTCAGTCATCGTAACAACACCGCAAGATATCGCACTCCGCGATGCAGTCCGCGGTATCGGCATGTTCCAGCGTATGGACGTACCAGTCCTCGGAATGGTTCGAAACATGGCTTTTTTTGCTTGCCCGCAATGTGGACACCAGAGTCGCATTTTCTCGCATGGTGATAGTCCGCACGTGCACGATGAGACGCATGGAGTCGTCGCTGAGTGCAAGAGACTCGGGGTGGACTTCCTTGGTGACATCCCTCTTGATGCTAGGGTCTGCGAGGACGCTGATCGGGGTATGCCCACTGTTGTTTCAGAGGAGAGTGTTGAGCGTAGTGCTAGGCGTCAGGCTTTCCTTGATGTTGCGGAGCAGGTTGCGAAGAAGATTGGTCTTGATTGGCGTTGAAAGGGACTCTGCTTGATTGTGTAAACATATCATCGTTTGTATATTATTATTAGACTTGCATCGTCAAGTGGCTGGTTCTTGGCTACGGATACTTTTGGAGATTGGAATTTGATCTCACCTCCCATGAATGTTATTTACGAGTTTGATTAACTGCATAAGCCTTTCCATAAATGCTGAATCGGGTATAGATTGTTCATTCTCTGAATATCAAATGCAGGTTATAGTCGCAGTCAGAGGACCAGAAATGGGACCGCCAACATCGGGTATATCCAAAATCAGAACACAAAAGCTATAAGACAAAACGAAACGGTGGCTCAGGGAGTAGAGCTTCATGGTGAACGTGTCCACGTAAGGACACTTCAGGCATAAATAAACCAAATGTAAAAGATTTGGAAAAGGTAGAACGAGCACATAAAAGATTCGAAATAGATCAGGATAAATAGCAGACATGGCAGCCTATAGGCCTTCCTCAGCTGTCTTGAAAACCTCTCTGTCAGGCATCTCAGGACGCTGAGAAGTCGAATCACGACCAGCAGCAGAGAAAACCGAAAGTGTATCGGTAGACATTCGACCATTCTCGCTCGTCATCACTGGGATGACACCTTTCGCACCCAGTACAGCACGGTTGCTAGCACTATCAGATGCCATATGCATACGAGCAACGGAGTCCTTGTCGCCACCAACAGTACTAGCTGTGTCAGACACCATCTCGCTGCGACCGGTAACCGAGCCCGCAGCGGACTCTGGCCGATATCTACTGTTAGACAAGGAAATATCGGACTTCATAGGGATAGTGCCTGCCGCATGGAAGAGAGCTCTAGTGCTTGCGTTCTCATCAGTGAATTTGCGGTTATCCACCTCAGGTAGTATGAGAATTGGAGCGCTCTTCTCTGATAGAGGACGGGAGGCTGAATCGGGTTCAGTGGACATACGACCTGTAAAAGAGTCGGCAGTATTATTATTGCGATGTCCCTTCTCATCCCAAGTGACGGAAGTAGGACCGTTGGCGTGTGGTTTCTCTTTGGTAAGGTCGTGATCCGCGGGAGTTCCGCCTTGAGGGTTCTTTGACGGTGTGCTAGACCAAGCTCCAGCCTGGCCAGCGTCGACACTGGGACGGGTCGAAGGCCGGCCAGATTGGGTAGCCTGCCGTTCCTTTTCCATTGTGCGCTCGTCATGCTTGCTTCCCCAGCCACTCCAAAGCATCATACCATAGTTCTTCTTGGCATGACGCTTTGGTAGCACGCCGGGAGCAGCACGTCGAGCGGCTAGAGAGCTTGCAGGCGGGCATTCACCATTGAAGTCTTGGAATCCATGAGCCAATTCCTTCATGCGGCATCTTTGGACCCTGAGCTTCTCCTTGGAAAATTTAATATCCCATTCTCGCTTTGCTGCCAGCCACTTTCGAATGAGTTCAGGATTGATCGCACCAACGTGAGCGGGCGGAATTTCTAGTACAGGATATGAAGACGGAGGATCAAGTGGGAAAATGTGTCCATGTTTATTGACACGTTGGCGAATCATGTGCTGATGGAATGCTGGTAGAGGATCTCCGGCTTTGCCGACGGAAGCAGGTCTTTCTTTCGGAGCTGATTTGTTGGTCTCGGCCTGGGATCCTGAGAACCCTTCCTCAGAACTGCTAGAGCTACAAGACGTGAGGGGCATGAGGACAGAGTCGTCTATAATATCAACGTCTGCCTTCTGCGCACGAGCCAAAGCCCAAGAACCGAACTGAGAGATAGATCGGAACATGTACTTGGCAGGCTGTGTGAAGCTGAGAGTGGGAGCCACATGGCAAAGATGGTCCCACACCTGAAGATGTACATAGGTCGGTGCGTACTTATTCAAGGTCTCGCGGGTTGGGTCATTCTCATCCAAATACACATCACTGGGTGGATATGCTGTCGGGTTGGCTGCTTTGTGGGCCACGTAGAACTGCTCATCACGAAGCATCTCACCGCCGCCGCTAATGATCTGAAGAGGAGGAAGGCCACCGAGTGAGGGTTGCAGGACAGGTGAAACAAGCGGGTGGGTGATGAGTTGATTTGTCGTGTACATTTGGATTTGATCCTTTAGTTCAATGGTCTTCCCATCCAACAAAACGTGTATGTTGTCAGGTTCAGCCTGCAGGGTAGCAGGATCCTGGCTCTGCTGTTGGCCAGGGTAAGCAAGTTCGGTACGAGGAGGGGAGTCTTCGTGAACAGTATATCCACGAACAGCTGTCTCCTCTGCCGCGCTATTCGGTGCAGGGATTGCTTTCTTGACATCCTCGGCAGTGACCGTTGGTTGCTGCGACATTTTCTTCATCTTCAGAATATCATCGGCGTTGGGAGGAGGCCAGGCAGTTGACGGTTTGTGACGGAAACCCCATGGAGGGATATAATCACCTGGATTGTCCTCAACAATACTCGGAAAAGAGTGCGTCAAATCAACCCAGGGCGAGATCAAGATAGCGCCTGCAGGCAGAGGAATGCCTTGGTCTCGCATAATGACCAGCATTGAGAGGGCCATGCCTCCGCCCGCAGAGTCACCAGCCAAAATGATTTCGTTGGGCTCATATGACTTGAGCAGCCATAGGTAGGCAGCCATTGAGTCTTGCAGTCCACATGGGAATGGGAACTGCGGTGAGAGGCGATAGTCCGGCGCAAACACACGTCCCTTAAGCTTGCGCGCATGGCGCTGCATCATATACCGATGTGTGTCGACACTTCCAAAAAAGTAAGCACCGCCATGGATATACAGCATCACTCGATTGGAGCGCTGGTTGGCTTTCTTTGTCTCATTGTAGTGGTTGCGCATCTCAATCCATTCTCCCTTCAACTCTTCAGATGGCCCACGCCATTGCCACCATTTCTCTCCCCCAACTCTTGCGACACCTTTCTGGCCCAGCTGCTTGACAATTGCATCTCCAGCAGACGACAGGAACTCATCGGGGATTGTAATGGTCTCGGTTCTCACCCAATGTGGGCTGGGCACCCATTGGCGGGTAAATGCTTGGAGGTCTTCGACAGGATGCTTAGACGCATAGTACAGGAATTGGCGCACGATCTGGATGCCCTCGTCGTAGGTGATATGAACTGTTGGTTTGTTGTGTAGCGATTTGCGGTGCAGGTACTACAATGCGACATCAGTATGAACTTCGACGTCTCCCTTCACACAAGAACTTACATGGCTGATCAGAGTATGCAACACTGTAGGCGTCAGTGCCGCACCAAGTGCGAACGTGTTCAATGGCATTATATACAGTCGATGTCGCGTAGTTGCGACAGAGGCCAGGTGAGGTTTAGTTCCAAAGTAGAGTCCAGTGATATATGAGCCGATCTTATTAACGAGAGACAAAGTTCAGCGACCAACCCAATGCCTCGAGGAAAAGAGAGAAAGAGAGGGAAAGAGAGAGAGAGAGAGAGAGAGAGAAGTGAACAAACACAGGGGGACTGCGATGATGTCATTGTCGATCTCCACTAACTTATGGAGAGAACCTCAAGTCTACGCTAACACTTGACTAACACAACACTAATTCCACCAACACTACTAACACTAGCAACGCAGTCATTACAAGCCACTTTGCCTTTCTAGCCTCGACTTCGTTTCCCTGGCCTTTGTCCAAGCCATACAACTGCGACATACCCCAGTGCAATGACTACAGCCACAACGCTGGCCGCAATCACCGCCCCAAGAGGCCCGTGCGCAAGCTGGAATCCCAGTCCAGCATTGATGATTCCCAGGATGATCAGGAGTCTCCCAAACCACCGATGAGTATAGGCAAAAATTCCCTTTCCACCAGTCCTCCGGAAGAACCGGTGCTGTAATACCCCCATGGCAGGCTGGAAAACAACGAGGCAGGCAACAACTACCATGCCAATAATGGGATGGTGGTGATGAAACAAGGAGAGATCCCTTGCCATGGAAACACCAACACCGAGGCCAGCAATGGCAACAGCCAGAGCGAACAGTTGACTGGGCCCATGGAGATTCACTGTCCACTTCGCTGGGAAGAGATGGAGGCCCAGTGCGAAACCAGGGAACATGACCACAAAGGCCAAGATCATGAGCACAGCATGCGCCGTCTGCTTCTGATTGATCATGTCTGCGAAGGAAGAAGAGCTCGGATCTGCACTGGAAACAGACACTTGGGCCAGTTGAGCGAAAGGGTTCTCCGAGCTGCCACCCGTCGCTTTCTTCATGTCGATAGACACGACACCCTGGTCATCATGTTGGGTGATTGTCTCGGAAACACTGGTTGATTCCAACGAATCCCCGAACTTCACTGCCCAGATCCACGGACTTGAAGAGCTGTTGACATTTTCTGTTCCACCATCCCATTTCAGGCAGGTATCGCACCGGATATTGGCGGTAATGACTCCGTCGTGTACACCACTGCCATTGAGAATTGTGATTCGGGCGTCTTTGTTGTACGACGGCTCGACTTCGGCTATGCCAGACCGTGGAGAAACTGTCACGTTGTTGCCGGAAGTAGAAGTAACAAAGATATTGGCGCCTGCCATCCCCGTTCCTTGCCCTAGCGCAAACCATTGCACTTGACGGGTAGAATTCATTTGAAAGTAGATAGATCCAGAGCCGGATTGGGCGGTCTTTTCGGGAACATTGATACTATAGGTGATTTCGTCGTGGCCGGGGGGGTGGAAGCTCTGGAGTTGGGCCAGCACAGGGACAGCCCAGAGCCAAGCGAAAGCATGTCGGGCCATAGTTATGAAGATTGCTGTCGTTTTCAGGGGGGAATTTTTTCCTCAATAAATAAAGCGGCATTCACGACTCGGCTAATTGTCACAGGGGTCTTCTCATATCGACTGGGCCAAGACACTATGGCTGACTGTCGGGTAATTACCTTTAAATTCCTACCGTTGAACTCAGTGCCACAGCCCAACATTTACTTGAAGTAGCAGTCTATACGAGATGCCTAATAAGGTACCCCTGTATTGACAACCTCCTCGTTCTCGGTTTCGCAAAATTGGTTCGAATGCTGAGCCACTCAGGGTTCAAGATCGATAAGAAGGTTCCCAGCTGCGCCTCCACAGTGTGGGACCTGAGACGATCAGCAAATCAGCTAATCAGCTGATAGTTCTATGGAGTGGCGCATTCTAAGACATTTTCATAAGCTTGAGTTCTATAGACTGAAGAGCCCGAGGCTGTGTTGGTTTTGTACCTGGCAACGCTCTAAGCTTTTCGCACATTAACCTAATAGGGCTACCGTGTGAACTAGGTTTCGAGCTAAACCGCTCCGTGGCTATGCCATAGATATCTATTCATCTCTAGATCATTCATTATTTGGAATAACTTAGAATAGTAAACCCGCGAGGTAGAGGTGATGATAGATATATAAATGGATTCCCACCGTAGGATATCCGTTATACTTCAGAAAGCCAAGAATACCAACATACCTTTGACCGCAACAATGATCACCGCAATCATTTTTCTTCTTTTCGCACTTCCATTTACCAATGCCCAATATGGATCAAACGATGCTAGCAAGACAACTAGTGCATCGTCGAGCACTACAGCCTCGGCATCAAGCGGCACCCACAAAGTCGAGGTCGGCTCAGGCGGCATTACATTCAACCCGGATACACTTACCGTATCTCCAGGAGAAAAAGTCGTATTTCATTTCTTCCCACAGAATCATTCCGTGGTCCAAGCTTCCTTCGATAGTCCCTGTCAACCCATGAATACGTCAGGCTTTTCTACTGGGTTCGTCCCAACTACGACGGAATCAGTAAGTACCTCGGAACTGGATGGACCAATAGTACCTGACTCCAATAGGAAACCATTTTTACTCTGACAATCAATGACACAACTCCAATCTGGTTCTACTGTGGTCAGTTTGGGCATTGTCAGGGCGGCATGGTTGGGGTTATCAATCCACCGTAAGCATAACCTTTTTTTTGGTGGATTTAGCTGACTACTGACTCTTCAGATCAAATGGCCCGGAAACCCTTGACTCTTTTAAAAAGGCCGCCTCTACCGCTGTAGGCAGCACTGCACCTGAAACCGTTCAAGGTGGTCTCCTGGGGAAGTCTGGAGGGGATGCCTCGAGCTCGAGCTCGAGCGTCACAACTAGCTCTACTGCTAAGCCGACTAACGCTGGTAATAGTGTTGGTAATGCTTTGGATATGTGTGTTCTTCTGGTTTTGGCTTCTTGTGTTGCGCTTTCTATGATGTAGTAGGTTGTTGGTTCATTCTATAGTACGATTCCTGGTCAGTGCAGAATAGTCCCGAATTTGAGAATCCGTTTCTTGTTGTAAAGGCGCTGAAACGTACCCGCGAGTCTAAAAATAAATTCTTCCGTACAGAAACCGTAGGTACATGGAAATCTATAGCATAAGTGAGCCCAAGAAAATCTCGAAAATAAACGAATAACCTGGAACGAACTGTCCAATAGCTAAGCTGATGTCGTCAATGTTCTTCACGCTCCTTGTATGGGAATACTGTTGAGACGCAGTAACGCAATACCTTGGTCCAGAGTGTATAAAGCCCGCAGCGCATAGATGATGAGGATCGCACGTCGAAGAGGGCAGCAAGCCAGCCCTCAGAGGACCTAATAACTACCCATGAAAGTTGTAAAAGCCGCACCATAGCCTCCGAGCATAATCATCAAGACCACCAACTAATCTAACATGCTTATATTAATGACGGGAAGCAAGGAGACAGCCAGATTGAATTCGCCACTTGTCGCAATCCACTCCTTTCCTAATAAACATATTTACTTGGCACGTCATTCCGATCTGCTATTATGAATGCCAACTGTGGAGCAATGGTCGCAACACATTTTACACATTTTACCACATCACCTATCGTGTCCAAACATCGTTCTTACCATCCACCATCTCCGATATTCCAGTCGGGTCACATAGCCTGGTTATGTGAAGAGTAGGATATCGACTAGGAGCTGAATACGTACGAACGCTCGCCCCTTTTGGCCCCGTCAGAGTACAAAGCAGTGCACCCTGCGGAATCGGCACCAACCATTCGAGACGGTGATCTAACCTTGGCTGAGAGCGGTGCTTGCATGGAATTTACTCGCGAGTACGCCAACGCCGAATTGTCCCCAGACCAAACACACCATTCTTACGGGTGATTTTGTATTTTGGTGGCACTAGTGTAATGGCAGCTTTATCCCTTGTCTGGTTGAATGCCATGATGGCACGTGCGGTCCTACCTTGGAAAGGATATTCGCGAGGAAGCCAGGGCAGTACTCTCTGCACGCTACGTGGTCGGATTGACGATGCTAGGTAATAGACCGCAAGATAATGAATGGTTGGCGGGGAGAGTTTTTACCGTGATGTATGCGATGGTCACCTTTGCACTGACTACGCTTCGATACTTCTATCTATACTCAATATTTTGAGGTACCTTCAGCGCATTGGCAAGAGACAGGCGTATCAGAGGGCACTAGTCAGGAGTAATCTCGGGATAGGAGCTGCTGCTAGGCCGGGTGGCCAAAAGAACCCTTTTTGGGCGTGAAGGAGCTAGAAGAGAAAAGAGCGGAGATTGGCAAAATGCTACGCTGGTCCAGGGGTAAACGCTGTAACATCATGGACCCTTAAGGTTCGTGATACACCTGACGATCTCGTATAATTTTAACTGGCCAGAATTTTGACTTTTGCGGAAGGATGCTTACGGAGATATCCTAATATCTTCGGGAAATGAAGGGTTTTTCGGAAAGTCTGCATTGAACGGCCTTTTTTTTTTTTTTTTGAGAGCTTCTAACTGCCATTGATAACCCAAATTAATGATCTACAAGTAGACACAACCTTGGGAGAGTGAACCCCAAGGTCCTATGTCTATCTTCAGTCAACAACTCAGGTCTGATCAAATCTCCGAGACTTGACGTAAGATCATCATTCTACGGACCTAGTGGACCAGGAAAGACCCTTTCAAACAAAAGAATCATCCGTAACCTCGCCGCAAGGTACATGAGAAAATTCTTGGCTTTCCCCACGATGCTCTGAAGGTACTCTTTTCGCGAGGCGATCTGCAACTTCATACCATACTTGTAGCATTCTCGGGCCCTTCTTGGCAATGCCAAAGGTCCCCAACGGTATTCGAGGATCCTAGCATAGATGTGCGGGTATATAATCCAGACGAGAAGATGGAAGAATATCACATAAACCCTCGAAAATGATCGGCAAGTTGTACCTCGTGGCAGCAGTGGTCGCCCAGGGTCTACCGGGGCTCGCCAGGACGATCGAGCAAGAGACTGTGAATGTGACAACATCTGACAAGATTCGACGCGGCGAACTGGCTAACGTCCATCTAAATTGGATTGGTGAGCCACCGAGTCTGATTGAGTCGAAGTATGCCTCCTGTGACGGCCAGGCGATTGGCGAACAGCAAATGATTGCGCATTTCATTATTCAAGATCAGCCTCCCCAACGATTGGTCTGGGCAGTCCCCGAGGATGCTCCAAGCTATCATTGTGTGTATGTTTATGGACGTGATACATCAGATAGCACACAGAGACTGTTGGGGAAAAGCAGCCCGGTATCTTTGCAAAATAAACCAAAGAAGCGATCAACAGCAGACACCAATATTCCGTTGTTGAAAGACTTTGACGCACTTGGAACATGGTTCGACGGAGTAGCCAGTATCAAGGACAAACTTGAAGCCACCGGAGGAGTCACTTCAGGGAGCTCGCCAAAGAATGCCTCGATCGCGATTGTTGGTGGAGGTATCTCCGGTCTCGCGACAGGCCTGATGCTAGACAGTATCGGCGTGTATAACTGGGAGATTATTGAGGCCAGCGACCGTGTTGGAGGCAGATTCCGAACCAAATACGTTGCAGGCACACAGGAATGGGCTGAGATGGGACCCATGAGGTTGCCATACTCTGTGACCTACAAAGACGACAATGAGACTCTCCTGTACTCCGACCACCAGTTGACATTTCAAATGGCAAACATCTTGAACGAAATGAACAAGAATAACTCGCAGTGGAAGATTGACTTTATTCCCTGGATCCAACATAGTCCCAATGAGCTACTTGCTCAAAGGACTCGTCGCCATCCAGACGGAAGAATCCCAACACGCGCTGAAGTAGAGGCAGATCCGAGTCTGGAGGACGCACCGGCTATTACTACGGCCGAGTTCAAAAACACCCAGGATCAGATGGACAAGATTCTTAAGAACGAAACAACTCTCAAGTCTCTTCAGAAGGATGTGTGGAGAGCACACAAGATTGCCTTGGACCAAGGCCTCGATGACTGGAGCGAACAGGCTATGATGCGGCATATCTTCAAGGCCAGCGAAAATGTCACCGATGAGATCTGGACTTCATCCGACTACGACGTGTTCTGGGACGAGTTACACCACAACTCCAACCTGGGCTTGGATGGCACAAAGGGTAGCTTGGGAGAGACCAAATGGCTGTGCATCGATGGAGGATTCAACCGTCTATCCGACGCCTTTCTTCCACATGTCCGCGACAGACTCACTCTCAACCGGAAGATCAGAAAGTTGGAACCCATCCAGGACAGCAATGGCAACACTCGCACTCGATTATCCTGGTATCCCAGCATCTCGAACCGGACGTACGAGTCCAAAGACTACGACTACACAATCATGGCCGCCCCATTCACCATGACCCGCTTCATGGACCTGCCAAAGTTCTCATCAGTCCTCGATCGCGCCATCAGCGAAGCAGGCGTCCGTTTCAAGTCCGCCTGCAAAGTTGCCCTCCTATTCTCCGAGCGATTTTGGGAAAAGGGGGATCGACCCATCTTCGGCGGATATTCCAAACCTCCAAGTGACCCAGTCGGCGCTCTATACTATCCAGTCTATGGCCTCAACGAGTCACGGCCAGGTCTGATCATGCACTACCGAGGCGGAGACTGGAGCGACCGGTTTGTGAGTTTCTCCGACGAAGAGCACGTTCAGACAGTGCTGGATTCAATTGTTACTTTGCATGGCGAGCAAGCGCGAGACTTGTATACGGGTGATTATGAGCGTCTCTGTTGGCTTCAGGATGAGCATACTGCGACTTCGTGGTGTCGGCCGGATGTTGAGCAGCATAAATTGTACATTCCGGCTTATCATCAGACGGAGCATAACACCATTTTCATTGGTGAGCATACTGCGCCTACTCATGCTTGGGTTAGCTCTTCTTTGCAATCCTCTGTTCGTGGATCTGTCCAGTTGCTTTTGGAGCTGGGCTTGGTTGATGAGGCAAAGGAGTTGAACCAGCGGTGGATGGGGAGATGGATTAAACTATGATTTCCTGGGTAGTTCTATGGACTACAATGCGGTTATTGTAATTAGAAAAGTTCATTCTTCTATATCCATATTAAGGAAATATTGAAGTACTGTTCAATACTGGCAGTGTTTATCTACCAGGGCAATATCTCACCGGTTTGAGTAACAAACTTGCCAGAGAAGTTTTCCCTTGTTGCTCCATCAATAACCTCCAACATCCCCTTCACACTCTCGTCAACAGTGACCGGTGGACTACCAGAGTATCCCCACTCTTTCGCAGCAAAGTCCCCGGCACGCGTCTGTACCCACCCGGGATGAAGTGAAAATGCAACAAGACCACTTGCTTCATTCTCAGAATGAAGCGCTTTGGTAATCCAATTAGATGCAGCTTTACTAGGGCCGTAAGCCCCACCGGGAACAGGCTCTTGTTCAGCAATCGACCCGACGGACGATGAAATGACAACAAGCTTAGGAGAAGAAGTCGACTTCTGCATGAGTGGCCAAAATGCCTGAAAGACCATAAGAGGCGCAATGGTATTGACTTCAAATGAAGTGCGAAGGGCTTCCGCCGAAGTGAGACTAGCACGAGTCATGGGCGCTGCGAATCCAGCATTGCAGATTAGGACATCGACGTGGGATATCCCGGGGACTATGGCTGCAAATATATGAAGGATCTTTTTCGGAGGGATCGCAGAGTCAAAGTCTAGCTCGATGATGTGAAGGACACTGTTTTCGCCTACGGTGACAGTTTCGATCTCTGACTTGAGGCTAGCGGCAGCCTCGGGGTTACGGACAGAGGCCACGACGGTAGTTCCTGGGCGGGCCAGTAGAGTTTCGGTCAAACCGAGGCCGAGTCCTCTATTTGCTCCTGTTAGGACATAGACTTTGTTTCTATTGGCTGTCATGGTCCGCAGTACTGTGAGGGGCAGTGGTGATTGTTTATGGTCTAGGCTGGGTTGGCTTTAGAAGCTTAAACTAAACAGCAGAATGAAGAGTCAAATTGAAATAACCAATGAGAAAGAAAAGAGAAATTACGGAGTAGTTGAAGTCAAACTGGTGTTTTATACCCTTGGGGCGGCTTATTCCCCGTGATCTCGGGCCAATCGGAAACTTCCGAGACCTCGGGGATCTAGAAAATTGTCTTTTCTTATAGTTCCTCTTTCTATGATTTTTATTTGCGTGTATACTTTAGGGCAGGAATTCTGAGACCAGAACAGGAAGTTAAATCCAGAGCTACGCCATAAAGTCAGGGCATCACTATGATACGTACCGCACTGATCTATTCCAAAGGCTTCTCCTTACCTTTTGAGCAGCCACAAGAAATAAAGTTGCGCTGCGCACCAAAAAAATGAAGGCGCTTTCAAGGTATGTATATGGACCAAAATGGCGTGCTATGGCATTGACTGCAGGGTAGATGTCGAGGATCCGGTGACTTCTCAAACCTGACGCTACTCTGTGAAGGGGAGGAGTTCAAAGTGCACAAAGTGATCGTCTGCTCTCAATCAAATGTGCTACGCGCTGCTTGTGCGGGTAATTTCAAAGTATATTCGCTTATAGTTCACCGCTTATAGTTCACTATTTAGGGAAGAATCCTGAGGGTCTTTAGGAGGCATCAAAGGGAATTTACAAGTTCGAGGATGAATCCGCTATAATTGTCAGGCAGATGATCGAGTTCTTCTACTGCGGAGATTACAATGACCCTATAAATGAGAGCACATCACTCTCTCGTCTTCAGCTTCACGCTGAAGTCTTTGCTCTAGCCGACAGATACTGTGTTCCTGATCTAGCCAGTCTTTGTTGCAAGAAGTTCCAAAAAAGACTGGAGATGAAAGAACCCACCGAGTTCCTCGTATCAATTCCTAGTGTCTACAGCTCAACCTCTGATACAGTGCGTGGCATCAGGATATTGTCATCAGCTTCGCACACGTCCATGTTCCCACATTTGTACTGGATCCATCTTTCGAAACTGGCTATAAAAAGGTTGAAGCACTCTTCCTCGATTTTGCAATAGATCTGCTCAGCTTGTTTATCCAAAATGTTTCTAATCATTATTGTACATGTGTGGACGAGACAAAACAAGATGTAAAGAGACTATGCAAAGAGTGCAGGAGGCAGATGAGAATCGAGAGATTTGGTTGGTAGGTGTTGAACCGAGAGAGAGAAGGATGGCTTTTATGAACAATGCTCGCTTTTGTATCATGTTTGACGAGGTACTTCCATCGCTAGCAGACATAGAGACATTACTAGATAATAATTATTTCCTGGTGTCTCTTGAAATGATCTTAGGATCTCAGTTCGGATGGCGTGGAAATTGGTGCCTGATGTTTCAGGCTAACATTCCTCCTTGATAACTTAAGTTAAGCCAAGCCATAGATGTGTGCTGTCTTCGCTGCAGAGTAGAAGACTCATCATGTTTTTCTTTTCTTCTCTTCTTCTTGTCTTCTGGTTTTGTTTTCTTTCACTCTTTTTTCCGCTCCCCACATCAACAAGTCTTATGGAGTCGACAACTTCGATATATGTGGACTGATCTTAGCGCAGGGGCTTTAGATATGTAGTTGTAACCTATATCTCTGCTGTTCAGATTTGCGTACGAAGTCTCACCTCGGTAATAAAGGATTTAGCGGATTTGATGACTTCAACAGTCATATCAACGAACATATCGCGATCTCCACCTGCCAAGACTGCCAATCTCTCCCACTTTCCCCAACGCCTTCAGCGGAATTTGCCGGTCACCCCGGGGTCTTTTTCTCCGATAGGACAATGCGCAGACTAATCGGAGACCTTTCCCTTCTGACCTCTAAGGATCAATGGAGCAAGTATGAAAACCCCAAAAGAGGGGATACGCCCCACCGTTATCTCTGGCAATTTGGGGTTAGAAGCTCAGGCACGGCAGCTTCGGAAGGTCCACGAGACGCTAAGATAGTAAGCTTGGCGGTGTCTATGTATTTAAGAGTGCCCCTGCTATTCAAAGCATTAGATTAAGTGCATCATGGCTTTGGGTTTTGGATCTCGCCTGTGGCGTGTTTCCGCTTCTATTGTTCTCCTCTTTGCTACGTCGACCACATCAACTACTATCGATGATGGCAAGCTGTTCACCGTCAATGGAATCAGCTATTACGGCGGAGGCATTGCTGTCTCCAAGATAGTGACCCCCGCAGATTTCAATACAACCCAATTCAACGCGGATATCGTTCCTATTACTATCATTCGAACAGATGATGCCCTTCTCACAAAGGACAGTCTGAAGGATACTATCTCAAATTATTCCGCCTCCGATGATGTGTTCCAGACTGGATTCCTCCAATGTAAGTTTGGGTTGAGCTGCTTTTTTTCAGTTGAATTAACCTCATAACAGCGGTGTTTCTGCTCTACGACGGAGCTGGTCGGAGCAAAGCTGACGTCTCAAGCCACCAAGCTCTGCAGAAGTTTGGAAGCAAAGTCGTAATGGCTTCACCTCGCTATCAACCTGAAGCACATCTTACACCTGCCAAGCTATCGCATGACCTACCCAAGGGACCCTACTTTTTCTCGCCCCAGTCCGGAGAGGTTTATCAAGCCTTCCGTCTCTATTCGGACCACCAAGTTGCTTTCACTGAAGCAGCCCTGAGCGATGGAAATGGAGGGTACAAGCCTTTGCCAGCAGCGGCATCGGTGAGTATTTTGTAGGAAACGCTTGCATTACTTTGAGCTAAGTGGATTTAGGGAGCAATGACAAAAAGCGTGGCTGTTCCATCCCGGCTTTACTATACGCCCACTTCTGAAAAGCCACTTGCAGGTGTGAGTCTCACAATCATGTAATATTGGTTGAATCTGTTGTTGACAAAATCTAGTTACGCTTGGGTGTCAAAGACATTTACCACATCAAGGGACTGCGGACTAGTGGAGGGAACAGAGCCTACTATGATTTGTACCCACCGCAAAACACCACCGGTCCCGCAATTCAACGCTTGATCGATCAAGGTGCTATTATGGTCGGAAAGATGGGCACTGTTCAGTTTGCGAACGGTGACAACCCCACTGCTGACTGGGTCGACTTCCATTGTCCTTTCAACCCGAGAGTAAGTCTCTTGATTCATATACGAGAATCTATACTAACACTTCTCAGGGTGATGGCTACCAAGCTCCTGGTGGCTCATCTTCAGGACCTGGCGCCGGCATTGGTGCTTACGACTGGTTAGATATTGCCGTGGGAAGCGACACTGGTGGCTCCATGCGCAGCCCAGCAGGCATGCAAGGACTATTTGCCAACCGTCCTTCTACTGGTGCCGTCTCTCTGGATGATGTTATTCCCCTCTGCCATGCCCTCGACACAGCTGGTGTCTTCTCTCGCAATGCCGCCACCTGGTCAAAGGTTCTTCATGCTTGGTACCAGAACTTCACTGATTACAGGGAATATCCTAAGAAGATCTTCTATCAGGACTCTTCATTCCCTGCCACAAACACCTCAGCGGGTGCAATGCTCGAAGAGTTTGTTGTCAAGGTCGAAGATTTCCTCGCCACAAAGCGTGAGCATGTTAATATTTCTTCACAATGGGAGAAGACCCATCCTTCAACAACAGCCGGCGCCATCAATGACGTGTTGAATACAGTGGGTTTTAATTATCTAAATTTTACCATCACATGCTAATGAAACACAACAGACATACGCTTTCTTGGTGTCCGTTGACCAATACCGCTCCCTTGCACTACCATTCTACGCAGACTACGCTAAGAAGCACGAGGGTCGCCGGCCCTTCATTAACCCAGGCCCTCTGGCGCGGTGGACCTGGGGCCAGAACAACGGTGGTGACGCCGCCTTTACAGAGGCTTTCGAGAACAAGACCATCTTCAAGAACTGGTGGGAAACAGAAGGATACGGCAAGGCAGACGGAAAGACTTGTTCCGAGGGAATCTATCTCTACCCCTACACGCAGGGAGACACGCAATACCGCAATGCCTATTTCAGGTGAGTTGACAACATCAGGACTATAATAAAGCTTCAATATCTAACATCCACAGTGCCCCAACCGCACCCCCTCTCGGCTTCTCAAATGGCCGTATCGCCGTCTTAGCTGGTACCCCTGATATGATTGTTCCTGTTGGTGAGGTTGCTTATAACTCTACTATCTCGCTTAAGACGGAGTATATGCCAGTCACGATGAGCTTTGGGGCTGCCAGAGGCTGTGATTTCATGTTGGTGAATCTCATTGAGGATCTTGAGAAGGCTGGTATTGTGAAGCCTGTCAGCACAGGGTCGATGATGTATCCATCGTAGATATGAAGGGCTTTGAACCTGACCGTCATAATTATAGATTATTTTATGCAATGTGTTCTTAGATTAGAGGTCGCGGAATGTAAATAGAGTCGAAACAAACGTCAGTTATCTAGATCCATCCCTTTAAGTCACTCTTGGTTATGAAGCTTGGCTGCAGGGGACAGATAAACTTCAGGTTCTCTCGATCTGTCTTGTCAAGATCACGAGCAATTTTGAAGATTTGGTTCTCGGTATCAATCACTTCATCCCTCTCTGATTCTGCCTCATTCTCGGCAAGAAGACTTTGTCTACGTGTGTTCTCGCACTGAAGATAGAATCAAATAATTATTCACATTACGAGCGAAATTGTCTAAAAGGCGGTCATGAATACCCAAGAGAGTACATAGCGTGGCTTATCCTTAGACTGCCAGAATCTGGTTTCTTGATGTTAGTAGCAGGTTCTATGAAGAGCGAAGGGAAATTTCTCACTCGGGAGATATCATATTTGCGACAGAAGCAGCTACAATACATGAGGTTATCAGACATAGCTTCTTGGTGTGTCCTATCGTAGTTGTCTCAGCCAGTTGAGACCGGGAAGATAGGAGGGCTTGAAAGTGGAAATCTTGGTGCCCACCAAGAGGGCTACCTTGTTTGACCAAAAGATGCCAACTGATCGAGTGGGAAACGAAAACCAAGATCCGTCACTATGGGTAGTCGTATGCTTGTTAAATGGCTCAAACGGCCAGAGAAAGCATCACTATTCAACGAAGACAAATCTTGTATTAATACGTAGCAAAACACTACCCAACAATTATCAAAATCCACACACCCATTGCAGCTTCAATTGTCTCTCATTTCCAGACTGAGTCTGGTACTGTTACAGGCCCCGATGGAATCAGCGTCGATACTGATATATGCGGCCATTCCAACTGGTCGAATACCAGTAATACTACTTGAGAATACTGAATCTGTATCGAAGTGACATTGATCGTCCTGGGTGCAGTGATGTCATGCGGTGGGCTGACGAGGAACACCGGCGCGTGCTGGTCTCCTGGTGAAGTCGGTGAGATCTTCATAGGGGCTTGTCCGCGCTTGAATTTTGGAACTTTGAGCTCATATTGCACCTTCTCGATCCAGAAGGTAGCGTTCATTTGAACTGCATTAGCATTTGGAGTCGTGACTTCCGGGTCTCCTTCTAAGAATGCGATGTTCGCTGTTCCACCACCGAACACCGGAGGAGGAGGCATCGTGGACACCGTAAAGACGATGTTCTCGAGAATAGTCTGTCCGTCGATGGCGTCGCGCAAAACAGTGTTTGGGTCATCTAGCATGTCTTGGGTGATGGTGCCAGCAGCAATGAATTTCGAGAGATCCTGTGGGCGTCGAAGCTCGGTAAACACTGAGGCATTTAGGCTACCAATCGGCACTGCTTCACCACCGCCTATGGGTTGTACCGCCAGGCTAGCGGGTGGGATCACGGGTGGACCTGAGGAATTCGAAGTAGGCGCTAGGCATTGAGCATTGATAGTTGTGCCATGTGGAATGGACCCCATGCGCACGAGCGATTCGCCAAGGACTGGAGTATTGTTCGTGGGCGGGACGTTCATCCACAATCCAGCCTCGAAGTGGATGCCAGTGGGAGAATGATCAGCCTCCCCAGTTTTTTCGTTTGTCACATCGTTGACGGCCTGTACATAGGATATGCCGTTGAGTATGATGTTACTCTGCGACATAAGCCCGCGGTTAGGCACGGCGCCAAAATCTTCGGAGAACGTAATTGAGTCTTGTATCAGATTCAGCTCCAAGATGTTGTCGCGGGGAAATGCTGTCTTGTCCGGCGGTCCGCTATGCGGGCGAAAGATGGTGTTGAAGCCTGTCCCAGTAAAGCTTCCATTGAAGTACGACAGCACACCCAGCTTCGATGTTATGGGCAACAGATCTTCCCCTATAAATTGGACCGGCGCGTAGTGGAAATCGGGGGGGAGAGATATCATAGCCATAGCTGCTGTCACACTTTGCAAATGATGCCAATCAAGGCGATTTGTTATCAGTAAAAATGGAACAGAATAGATAATTAAATTCCAGAGAATAGAAGCAGCTTCTGTAAGGCATGGAGGGTATTAAATACGATTTAGGGAAGGGTCATCAAAGACGCTTTATCTTGTCCCATGTCGTTCAGACATTCCAGTGCTGGTCTGTTAGCTAATTCAATGCTGCGGATTGGATCGTTGTCTGGTGTTGAGCTAGTTCCTCTTGTAGGCCTGAGCACTGATGCCACAATAGAATTCTATGATACGTCAAATCCTGTAGAATGCTAGAAGAGCAATGGTAAGGCAATGATTCAGCGATGAAGGGGCGGAATGGACACCTCAAATGTAGGGAATGTTTGGAATGTGTAGACATTGATATGGCTCCCCCACTGGTAGGAACTCCTAGCCGAGAGGTTGCATGTAAGCTTGGGAGAAAAACAGAAATATGACAGGTTAACGAGTGATAGAAATGAAAGAGGGTCGAGCAATTTGGGCCGAAAATTCAGGAAAAATAGGCAGAAAATAACGTATTTCGCAAGCGAGTGGCCATCTCTAAAAGACATAGTAAATGCGATATATTGGTCTTTTTGTAGTGTAAATGGGGGGTTAACTCGGGCCGGCGCGGCGGCCCGCCCTTTCCGAAGAACTATTCGTAGAGTAATCGGCGAATTGATCAATTTGACCTTTATTACGCCTTCATCTATTAGATCTCGGTATCCAATACGCGATGTTTTTTGAGTAATATCATACAAATGGTCCGATCCAATCTCCTCGGTAAGCAGGAGTAGGTTTCTAGAGCAAAGACAAGCAGTGATTGTCCTTTTGTTTACGCTTAATCCGAGGTACATAGTAGTCGCCACTCAGGGTAGTGCTTATGAATGCGCCGTAGTGCGCGGAGCAGACACTGCTTGTACTCACTATTTCGCCAGTGGAAGAGAGAACATCTTGTCTAGGATGATTATGGTCGTGTTGTAACGAAACGCGAACTTTAGGGTTTTAGCTCAGATTCTCGCGGCAGCCCTTTAAGTTAGCGAAGACAGGGGCGACTGTTTTAGGCTATGTGGCATCTGTAGCGAACTTTATAGTTTTAGCTGGGATTCTTTCAGAAGCCCTTTAGGCTACTGTAACCTAAGGCTATTTGTTATAGGCCGTGTGGTCGTCTATGGCGATCTTTATAGTTGTGGCTCGGATTCTTACAGAAGCCTTTTAAGCCAGTGTAACCCAAGGCCATTTCTTTATAGGATGATCTAGGCCATTTATAACCTTTTAGTCGCTGTGGACGTGCATCCAGATGCTATTATTCATCCGACCTTGTGTAAATCATCCGAAAGAAAAACTAAACCCTTCCTGTCTCAAGAATGATGATGAAACTTCCGATTTACAACCAAGACATCGATACGGCGCGGTGAGAGCCAGATGTGCCGCAGACCTAGCGATTCGTCGGCCTTATGTCTCAACATAGACGTGTCCTTGTGGTTCCTTCCACTAATAGTTAAAACGGGAGGATTTAGAGGAACGTCCAAAAAAATATAAATTCGATTTCTAACCATTTCCAACCGTCTTTCCAATTCCCATAGGTTTCCACTTACGGGTTTGGTGACTTGAACCAACCCATATCCACCTCATCTACCGGTCCCCATATCTTTATCATCTTCTCCATCAAATCTGTTCTGCCTTCGACAGCCAAGACCTCCATAACAGCACGATACGCCGAATTCAACGCTCCAACAACCCACGCATGTCCACTGCTTGTGGCCTCGCCCGCTGTGTGTAGCCTTCCGTTACAACTCGGCCGCATCAGGGGCGGGAGGACATCTGAAAATTGTGCGGGTGCAAACAGAGCATAAGCACCGACTGAATATGGATGGTCATACCAGTCCCACAGATGTGCTTCCACTAACTGGTCCTGGAGGAATGATATGGATACGTTATGCAGACGTGCCATATCCTCCAAGACTATGTGCGTTATGAATTCTTCCTGTTCTGCACTTTGGTAAAATGCAGCTAGTCGAGCAGCATCTTGGCTCCATGTATAGCTGGCGATCATTGTCCCTGGCGCATCTTGGACATCAAGCCCATAGGATGGGTACACGCAGCGTCGGATTGGAAGGTCTGTGGACGATCCCCCGCCGATGAAAGGAGCAGGCAACACATCAGGGTTTTCCCACCAGCGAGTCTTGAACCAAATGCCAATTTTACCTGCGTCATCGTAGGCTAGAGTGCGCCACGCCATTGTGGTATTGTAATTGAGATCTGACAATGTGGACGTGTCGAGGACTCTTGTTGCTCCAAGCGGGATTGAGCTGATTATGTGGTCATAAGAATGCTCAACTGTATGGTTCACGACAACTGTGAGGGAATCCGCTTGTCCGGGCTTGATGGCGGTCACGCGGTTGAGCAGTTTCGGCGGGTGATGCAGAACTTTGAGAAGTCCATGGACTAGTCGTTCAAACCCGCCATTGATTGTGACCCAAGAATCAACAGGAGCAGCCGTGAAAATCCATTGTTCGATGACTGCCTGGGCAAGGGATGATTTATCAAAGGACAACGTTCCTTCCTCAATGGTCTCCAACCAGTTGATCTGCGCGTTGGTAAAACCTTTCTGCAAAAGGTATGCCCGGACGGACAACTGGTCGAATTCCATGAGCTTAGTATATCCTTGATCGATGTTCTGCTGTAGTGCATCCACCAGTTCGGCGATCGCGTCGCTGTATATCGTATCGGGATTGGTAACGGCGAAGTCGGAGGGTGGGATATCCCCACCTTCAGTTGTTAGGACATGAAACGTTGCGGCAGAGGGAGTCACGTTGGCATGAACAGATATATTGTTATACATCTGGAATGTATTGTTCGCGGAGAAGATGAATGGGATCAGATCAATTGCGTCAGCTTGGTCACTGACGTGCGAGTTCACGTAGCTGACGACGGACCAGTTTTGGGTCCCAATCACTCGGTCCATGTAGGGCATAATGGGAATCCTCATGGCACCCGCATCCTGGATGTCCAATTAGTTTTGCTACCAACACCCTCTCCAGCCGCTGCTGTGGCTTCACACTTACATAATAATTGTAATAAGCAGCTTCCTGGGGGTTCGACTTCTTCCAACCCTCCGGATCAAAATAATGGGTGTAGATTCTTCCACCCGCGCGTCCGTCTGCCTCTAGGATTTCGAAGTCGATATCCAGGCTCTGCAGCAGCAGAGCTGAATACAACCCCGCAGCACCTGCACCAATAATGCCAACCTTTAGCGGCGGTGACGGTGGTTGGCAGTCTTGGTCACATGGCGATGTCGGAGGACCAGGAGGAAATGAGTCGTAGACTCCTGCGCGAGATATCACCTCACGGAAGAGTTGGGCCCGGGCAGAACCGGGGTCAATGGCACTTTCGGCGCCCTGTAGGCACAAGAAAACAAGGAAAGCGGAGAGGCAGAGTAAAGGCCTCATTTTGGCAGCAACGGAAGAAAGCGAAAGCTGTCAAACCAAGCACACAATGGAAAGTAATGATGCCTACAAAGATAGGAAGAGACAAACAGCCATTTTCTATCTATATGTGTCATGTTCCACTTCAACGTGGGGATGGAATGGGCTTGGAATGTTCACTTTAAGCTTACCAGTACAAAGTTTGCAAATACAACAGATCCCCGCTTGGTATGTAGGAGAATTGGGCCGTGCCATCCTGAGCCGCCCCTAAAATATCACTGTACGGAGAACCAGCATTGTTGAATGTTAGGTTAGTGATACAACGTCTATAAGAATGTTGAACGGTGAAGCCCAAATGAACTGGAAATATAATGTCAAGGTGTGCACAGCGAACTGGTTCCTGCTTGCCGGGTATTTCCCAAGCCCCCTTCACTTGGTTGAAGAGACCAAGTAAAGTGAAAAACAGCCTTGGATTAGAAATAATGCCGGACGAACAGCTTTAAGCACGATACAAAACCACTCACTAACTATGTGGCGATCGGAGCTACGGCATTTACTTTACTGTATAGGGAACAATGGGTTATAACAACACGTTGCTCATGTATAAGCTTTCCAGGTCAGATTCCTAGTATACATGCAGGCGCAAGGCTAACATAAAGCAGGCCAGTTAATTTGACATGGTGTTTGCTCATAAAAGTTATTTGCCCGTGGATTATTACAGAACCACACGATCATTGGACTCACGCAGCTTATCTGGGTTTCCCTGAACACGGGGGAGCCATTTCCGAGTGTTTTCTCGTGCTATGTCTTGTACTAGGGTCGACAATAGCTGCTCCTCAACATTTACTAGCCATTTCAAAACACGTTACCTCCAGGCATACGTGGGTCCCTTAAACTGGAAAATCCGCTGAAATCTCTGAGGGGCTTTCGAAAGACACTTATGCATAGGCCATGAATTCTTCACCCTGGCGGAACCTCCTATAGGCAGCCCCACATCAATAGCCTCTCCGAATACTTGAACTCTACGAGACTATTGAGATGAGTCCTCCGTGAGAACGTCGATTCAACGACGCGCTCCTTTTCGGATTCTGTAAGGATACACCACACCTGATCATACTGACCTAATCACATCATTCCGAGCTTAATTGTCAAGCATTTTAAATGTTCTGGTCCGGATAGTGGAGGTCGCGGCGAGGGATTTGTCCTTGGCAAATTCTTCGTACTTGGTGACTGTCGCATCTTCGACCGCCTAGGGGTCTCGTAGAGCGAGGGTGTAATCATGGTAAATTATGGGTACTACACAACTACTCTAACACAGCTCTGTGAGAACAGCTGAATTGGATGACAATCTAGGCTCTCCGACGCAAAATTAAATGACGCAAAATTAAATTCATCGGGGTTGAGGAAAGAGCGATCAGTAAAAGAGCATCCCATAGTTACATGAGGAGCAAAGTTGACCGAGAAATAGCTTAGTGCGTAGACTAACATGTAAATAGTGAAATCCAAATTTCTCTAGAGGAATCTAAGGCTTACGCAAGGATGAAATTCGAGGAATTCAGCCAAAAAGTTTAAAAGGCCAAACATTTAGCGTCTGCTCCTCTTACAGTCATAGTAGTAGTAGAATTCATTTATCCTGACCCTTCGCGAACGACACGCAGGCTACAACAACTTTGTAAATATATATGTTTGTTTACTCCACTGAGACTGTTCCAAGTTTCCTGGACGGTCAATTTTGAGCCTCACCTGATAAGGTGATTTGTCTCCACTTTAATCTGTGATAAGACTGGGGTAGTCGGCTACCTCGGGTTGTGTCTCTCTCCATAGAGACGCGATGATGATCAATGTCGTTCCGGCGCTAGGACTCGAACATAATACCTTCAGAATAAAGAGTGACACAGTCATCCTGCAAGTTCCGTGGTGGAGAAGGAGAATGAGATTGTTCAACCAAAATCTGTCCAATTGGAATAGAAACTGTTCAATCTGCTCTACAAATGAAGACGTAACGAGGACATTTCATACTGCTTCTGGTGCGTGAAGCACCCTCCGAGCACAGGTACCGAATCTTCCAGGACGCTCGTATAGAACGAACCCAAGGTAGCGTCCTGCACGTTTATCCCCCCGGTCAGCGGTGCATACAGGGAGCAGGGCTTGAGCACCTCGGAGGGAAAGCCTGAACAGAAGGAGGGCGCCGCAGCTGAAAACAATGCAGGAACGAGAGCACGAGCACGCGACTAGATGATGGTATTAAACTAGGAAATGCCACAGGGAAATTCAGCTGGGTATTAAGGTGTAGTGAGTTGTTCACTCTCGAGCACCAATCTTCAGTTTACGGGGTTTCGGGCGGCGGAGTATAGGCCGGGGGACCTCCGGCGTAGAGAGCGGGATATTACCGAATTGGGAGCTATACCCACCTCAAGCCTTGATGTCGTGATGTCTTGGAAGTTCAGCATTACCACGTGACTGGTGGAGCACACCTTCAGAAATGGATTGCAAGAAGTAATTCACCAATAACCAGTATTGTGTGTACATAGTCGGAATACGTGATATTAGCGACCAATCAATGATCTTGAAGTCGCTGGTATTAACCAACCCTCTGAAAACACCAATTCAACTATTGACAGTGTAGGAGAAACTGAATGGCATCGAAAAAGAAAAATCCAGGAAAAGTAGCTGGCGGAATTTGGGACCGAGGGAGGAATGGGGAACAGGACGGCGAGATTCTCCAGGCAATGAGTGGCGGGTGAAAAAGCGAAATTAAAAGTGTGACTGAGGCTGGCGCGTAGATTAGTCCCTGGGAACTTAGTGGCCCTCACTAGCACATCAGAAAGTTGCGGGTATACGAAGCAATTTATTTTATTTTTTTAGCTTGGAAGCTATCGGAGAAACTGTGGTCTCTCTGAAACATAAGTTGTTTTAGATTCAAAGTTAATTCAGTAAATCTTGAATGTTATCTCCACCACACTCCGCCTAATTTGATCTAACAACTATTTAGGTGACAGGCTCGGGAGAAAAATACAAATTGACTTGGATGGATTACTTATTGACTCCCTGGAGGAACGACGATCTCTAGGTTGGTACTATTAAGCTGGTCCTGCTCAAACTCCTCTCATTTTTTTTCGGCTTCAGTATTGTACCCATTCATTCTTTTCTTTTCTCGTATTTGCCTTCATTCATTGCTGTTATCATTCTCTTCGCAATGCGTGCCTTTCTGTCTTTCGTTGTTCCTCTACTCCCTCTTGCATCAGGATTCGTGCACCCTGGCCTCCTTGTCTCGGACAGCGATGTCGCTCGCGCCCAGGAAAAGATCAAGGCCAACCAGGATCCATGGACTACCTCATGGAATACCCTGACCGGTCTCTCATTTTCTGATGCGAGCTACACTCCTTCCCCAGTTAGTCATGTCTACCGCAGTGCCTGGGATGACAATGCCGAGAACGCGGAGCTTCTCTGGCATGACGTCGCGGCCGCATTTAATCTTGCCCTACGCTGGAAAATAACACAAAACGTGAGCTTCGCCGACACCGCTAGCAATATTCTGCATGCGTGGGCGACCACTCTCAACGCGATCGATGGTGGTGACGACAAGTACCTCACAGCGGGCCTGCAGGGGTACGAACTCGCCAACGCAGCCGAACTCCTTCGTGACTATGAACCCTTCACGGCAAATGTCCTCCCCGCCGTTGTGGAAATGGCCAACAATATCTTTGTCCCGATGCACTACAGATGGTTGAACCATGAAGAGCCGTCCGAGCATAATATTCTTCATTTCTTCGCGAACTGGGAGCTGTGCAATATCGCTTCGGCGATGGCTATGGGTGTCCTAACTGACAACAAAACAGTGTGGGATTTCGCTGTGAATTACTTCAAGACCGGGGATGGAACTGGCGCGATCAACAATGCTATCAACAATATTGTTGAAGAGCCTGGTACAGGGACGTTGCTTGGCCAGGGCCAAGAGTCTGGTCGTGATCAGGGCCACTCAGCATTGGACATCCAACTCCTCGGTGTTATCGGGCAGCAGGCCTGGAACCAAGGAGAGGATTTGTTTGCCTACAATGATAGCCGAATTCTCCGTGGGTAAGTACCATTCAATGCTTTCCTCCATCTTACCATTTACTCATGTATCCCCGTAGTGCAGAGTACTTCGCGCGGTACAACCTTGGAAACGACGTTCCCTTCGTCCCTTACACGAACGGGATAGTCAGCCACACGGAGATCAGCAGTGCCTCCCGTGGAGCCATTAGACCTACCTGGGAGCTTCTCTACAACCATTATGTTGTAAGGAAGGGGATGGATGCACCTTGGTCCACGCTGTTCCTCAACAATTCTCTTGACTATTACCACGGCGCGGAGGGCGGTGCCGGCTCCTGGGGAGAGGGGTCTGGTCATTACGATGGTTTGGGCTGGGGATCGTTGCTGTATCACATGGATGAGGCAGACGTGGCAGGTCTGGTCTCCTCCCGATCTACTTTACCCACGGCGAACACCATGTCAAGCGCCTCCTTAGCGTCTACTTTCACCCCTAGGGCAACGACCACGACTTCTGGCGTATCCGACCAAAGCGCGCATGTTTCGAGTTCGACTACGACATATCCTAGTGCTGTTTCTTCTGATTTGGGCACAGGAAACTCTGCCTTATCAACCGTCGCAAAGAACAGTGCGACTCCCATATCTTCTATGCATAGTATAGCTTCTACCAGCATATTGACAACTTCGACGACTACGCCACTTGGTAGGCCGCAAGAAGCCCACCACCATCATCATCATCATCATGTGGACGCTCAAGCACAAAATGTTTGCCATGTACATTAGGTCTACGTTTAGATGCTCCATACATGCTTCATCATCCTAGAAAAACATTGATCCGACCACAAAACACTAGCGAAAATATAGCGAAATATCCAGCTCACCCTAGCTGCCCGCTATCTTTGTAAAAATTGAGAAAACACAAAATTATCCTATAAATGTCAATAGCAAAAGAACCTCCTATAAGCGAAACACTAGCAACCCGACGACTAAACTTTAAGAATCGGGACAAAAGGGTGAGATACCTTTCTATATAAGTTAGTTTGTAACCTAATTCTCGCCGACCGTAATAACCGGGGTAGTCCTACGTGCCGTAAGTAGTAAATCTGCTATTTCTCATATAGTAGAAGGCCGAGGAGCTGCTCCGCGAAGATCTATAGAGAGAATCTATTTTAAAGTGTTTCCTCCTCAATTTCAGTTATTTTATACGAGTTTGCGCGTATAATGCTTCGTTAGGAAGATACGGTCGCGTAAAGTTGTACGCGGTACATTAAAAAAGCGTGCAACTTCGCGTAGGGAGGTAGTTTCTTGATTCTTAAAAGCCTGAATAGCTAATAAGATCCTACCCTCTTGTTCTTCTCGATTTCGAGAGCTTTGAGTCCGAAATGGTGGCATAATGGGTGGTTGAAAATGGAGGCTCTAATTAATTGACGCGTTTTAGGTTTGGTGGGCGGCTCCCATGTGAAATACGTTAGCATCCAAAAGGGTGGTTGGTGTCTGTATCAATCCCCTAAAGTTATGGCACTGGGCACAGCATTTTTGGTGCTATAATGTCATATCTACTGAAGATTGTCGGATCGAGAATATTGGCTCCCAAAAAAATTTGCGCGTCAATAAATGTCGAATATCGCTGTTGAATAACGACGTCAAAGATCATGGTGGTGACTAGCAACAGCCATGTAAATAGACGGGGTGTCCCAGCTCTAACAAGCCAGTCAACTTAACACAATATACCCTCCTATCTTAACAATAAAATTGACACCAGGTACACTTTACAAAACTTTCTTCCCTAGCAATTTTCTCTTTCCGCAATCTTATTCTTGACAAAAAACATTCATATTTGACTGCGTGAATATTATTTTCCCACAAGATTGTTTCAAGATTCCCGGCTGTGAGCATTAGCAACTTAACAGCCCCGGTAGAGAAATTATGCCGGGAGTCATCAGTAGCAATCGCCTAGCCGGGTCCTTAAAGCGAGCATGCGAAGCGCCATTTAGATTATGGATGTTTCAAGAGAGCAGGCAAAGAGATAGCGGAAAGAGTGGTGATCCAATAGTATCAATATGAAATTGGAAAGTAGTTTTTGGCACAGCATAAAAATGTTGATGACATAAAACGTGACGTATGAAATATGCAGCCGTCATAGTAAATCACATATGTTACCCGTTAGACGACTGCTTAAATCAGGATGTTCTTGTAAAAGGTAGAGGTAGCTGGGGAAAACACGAGAAACTTCACCACAGTATTTAGCCGATGCTCTGCAAGGGTACTTCCGATGACTGGATAGTTGTGAAGGAAGTCATACAACTGACCAAGGAGCCGGCCTCCGAGCCAGCTTCCGAGGGTACTACGGCCACTTTCCTCCAGTCTGAATGCTCCAGCCTTTTTATCTAGTCTTGCTATACACTCCTTCTGTTTTATAGCCCAGGATATTCGTGTATATAATGAGTTCCTCAAATCAGTCAGCACGCGAATCTATGTAATGCAATTAGATTAGAATTGATTTAGTATTAACGTTAATGTAAGTTTTGGTTCAAATGTGATGAATTATATCGGAAATACTTGGAAGGGACCACGAGGACTTGAAATTGTAGTAAGCTAATTTCTATCTCCACCTTATAGCTACTTAAACCAGGCATCAAGGTATATCTCCAATCTCCGGGGGCCGAACATAATACGCTTCCCAGTCATCCCACTCACGCAACTTGTGAAATCCTGGCAGCTCTACATAACGCCAGCACATTTTCATCCAACCCACATCATTCTCAGTACACCCCTCAACGGGCTCCTCCGGCTTAGGTACATCGCCATTCGCGATGTCCTCTTCATCAAGTACCTCTGGTTTCCATTCAGCATAGACCATGCGAACAAATCCTGTTTCATCATCATCCTCGGGGGCACTTAGAACCGATTCTATAGCTTCCTAGTCCACCATGATGAAAAACCGGTATCGGCCGGTACATGCATGGTAGTCTTCAGCAACACCCTGTTCCTCTTTTAATGAGGCCTTAGCCCACTGATTGAAGTGCTCGCGTAGAGTAGCAACTGTCGCGCCCTCGAAGGAGGGGTCTTCCAAGACTGTTGGGGCAAATGTGTCGAGGAGATCAAGGCCACTGTAAAACTCAAGGTAATCCGGGACAGCGCCTAGGAAGCGAGCCATAAATTTCTCCCAGTCAGAGTTGTTTTGGTACGTGCACCGATAGATCACAAAGCCCCAGGATTTGAATCCGTCCTTGTCAAGGAGCGCCTCGAGCCGGTCAGCCTTATTTAGAACGGCATCCATCGTGGGATCGCGTTTCGAGGGAGGGACCATTGTTGTTAAGAAGGAGTTAATAGTATTGCCGAAATGTGGTGGTATATACGCGGGCTTTACGAGACATGAAGGGCGGTTGATAGGTGCAGGGAAGCGAACAACACTCGGGCGGGTAGAGGGGGCGAATTGGCTGTAAAAGCGAGGAAAGTGTGTAGTTCGAAGAAATCCTCTGGTAACCATGGGTGTGAAGTTCCTTAGTTTCTTGTAATAAGGTGGCGGGGGAAAGGTAGGAGTGGGAAAGAAAGGCTGGATGAGGTAGAGAGTTAGGCATAGTCCAGGGGCAAGCAGAATCCAAAATTGTAGGGCTTAAAAGTGGGGATCCAATTCTTCTCTCAAACGCTCTAATTCCTCAAATCTGCAGGTTCCCAAGCTATGCCTGTGCCTATCTGGGTTAGCCGAGAAGTGGAGGAGTGGAAGCGAAGTGGTAAAGATACGGAGTAATTCGGCTAGTTCTTAGATAGTACCGCCGCCGCCATTCCAGCCACTTCATGTATACACTAGTGACTTAGTTACTAGCATGAATCATGTCGATGATTGCTATGTTTGGTCTTATTATCGTCCTTGGCTTATTAGGAGCATTCGCAAGCTATACTGCCCCATAAGAGATGCTTAAGTTATTGCAATCATTTACTAATATGACCCACATGGAGTCTTATCGAGTCTACATCACTAACTTATAAGTTAACTACTAAACACTCATCTTGCTATGTAGAAACTCCCACGCACACCGAGTACCCGACCTCTAGATATTCACAGTCCCATCCAATCGCACGATTCCACTGGTATAGTTCTGCAAAAGTGATATCATAGGTGGTCTCGATCTTGGCGCATGAATCCTTGGCCACCACGGTGTAATACTTATTGCAGTTGTACGCGAACCCCGTCTGGGTGGGTGCACTTACTCTTGCGCTGGTCGTAGCTGTCGAGGTCGGCCCTTTGACACCGTATGCTCCTCCTAACCATAGATTGGTATAGGTAGAGCCAACACTGGGGTTCCATTGGTAGAAATTGTTCAAGGGTGATGTCGAATTTAGTCTCCACTGTGGCGCAGTCATCGCTATCCATGGTCGGGTAAAATTGCTAGCATCCAGACACAGTATCTGTTGGCGTGGGGCTCATGGTGGATATGGTTTGGGTGGCAGTTCCAGTACTGGTTGTAGTGGTTGCTGTTGCATTTGCAGACTTGACACCAAAACAAACAGCGCGTTTCTCCGTGACATTCAGATTGGCATAGAGGGCAGTATCGCAGACTCCTGCTAGCCAGCTGTTCTAGGACACAAGCTCGGCCAAAGTGAGGCTTTAATCGTAAACGATGTCATCGCAAGTGTAGTCTAGCCTATATAATTAGTATTCGCTCGATTTAGGGCAAATCGGTCAAAGTTCATACCGCCAGAGTCAGACAGGTCAACGGAAGTGAAGCAATTGCAATTAGATGCCGTGCCAGTCTCCGTCGCATTCATAGGAAAGCAGGTGATATCAGTATCCTCCGTTGCTACGTCTCTAGTCAGCCTTTCATCTATTTATTCCGACCAGGCATTAAAACTTACAAGCAGTGCTATTCTTATATCGCAAGATGCAGTAGCTGTTCGCCATATTGAGATTGCAAGTGCTCTCATTGTTTACAAGACTCGGATTCTATAAGACCAATTGCTTCATCGGGTTGCCGTAACATAACGCCATATCCACACACTAAGAAGTATAGTTGGAGGGATTCTCGTAGTCATAGCAGTCTGAGATACTGCCTAAAGCAGTTGGCAGCAGCGCCGTTCCGGTATACTCATAACTAGGATCACTCGTGGCAGTAGGGATTGCGGTATTCATATAAGTGAAGTTAACGGGCGTGACAGTGATTGGCAGGACCCTAGTCACCGTGTAATTCGGGTAGCTAGTGATTGAACCAACCGCTGCTTTACTTCATTTAATGTTATTCTAAAAATCTTGGGATTAACACTACTTCATCAAGAGCCACTCTCGAGGCCAATTGGATCCTATCTTAAGCTACACTCACTGCCTACAAAAAGAGTGGAACACTCTGTATGTACGTGCTGTACAGTCATTCTCGAAATCGGCATGAGAGTGTTCTTTGGATTGAATCGATCAGAAAATGGACAAGCTAGGAATATAATTGTCTAAGATACGTGAATACGTGGTTACGTACAAGATCCGAGACAAGAAAATCGCATATGTATACGTCGGATTACAGGCGGGATGGTTTCTCTTTCTGATTTAGCCCTCACCCCTTGCCGCTTTTTGATCTCTAACATGTGTATAGGCACATAGTTGTTGTAGTCTACATATCAGTTAATGCTCTCATGCGGGTAACATAGCTTTTATTGGAATTATTCAAGGAATTACTTGTGTTTATTTCACATCGACGTCTCACCTCAACCCTCAAAGATTAGCTTGAAAACAAGTGCGAAGATAACTTCTCCGCTGTGCCTATCCTTCAACACATATCGCAAGTTGTGGTTTTTGTCGTTAACGTATTGTATGACTGGTATGGAGAAACCTGGGAGTTTCAAAGAGAAATCTGACCATATTCGTTAAAGCATGCAAAGATTTGAGATGCCCAAATGGAAAAGACATACTTTGAAAGTCGATATACCCATTTCCAAAGTCTGCTTTATAAACGACGCCAGGTTCAAAGCAGAAAGTCTGGCGGTTTTCCCTTTGGAGGAAATGCTTTTGCCTCTCACGTGCCTGATCTGGGATATTCATTTCCCGTCTGGACACTTCTCCTTCGGCCTCACCACCTTCCTCGATAACTTCAGTGTGTAGCGTCTTTCGCCAATTTTTTGATCCTAGTTGATAGGTTTTAGTAAATTTGCTGTAAGATTCCTATTTCCGCTCTTCCAATGATCTATGGCTTCAAACGCACCTGGTCTCCCACATATTCGTAGGCAATTCAAACTAGAAAGCGCAGGACCATATAGATATGGCTTATCTGCATATGCGTTACCGTAAAGACCTGGGTCAATCATCCATCTAACGATACGTAGAGCAGTGCTGAACCCGGGAGGCAAGCGGTCTCGGATTGGATTGTCGAAATCATTGCCGAAAACGAGGCTGTCACCTGAAATGGCCTTCTTCGGTTGGAAGGAAAAGGTGACGGAGTATTCTTGGCTTTCGTGAAGTGGATAGGAAAAATAGGCGTGTGTGTTAGGAGAGCCTTCGGGATAACCTGTGCAATTGATGGGCAATGGACAATTAGTTATGAATCCTACTCCATCGTACGAGTAAAAGTCCAAATATATTAGTCACTTACCTCTGTAGTTCTTGACTCTCACGCAAAGGCTTACAAAAGCCAGATCGTTCTCAAAAGTTACAGTTTCCTGCTGGTTGACGGGAACAATAGAATGACATGCCAAATCATATTCTGGTCCTGCCGTCACCTGCAATCTATATTTCGTGTTGTTGTCTACTGACACCTTATTTGATTTTGGTGATACTGTTCGGAGAATATAGGGCATGATGCTGAGGACAAAGATATTGTGAAAGATAGCGTAGTTGGTTGGTAGTATGAAGTACTTCATACAAAATACAAGTTAATGGAGGGGGAACACTGCACTGTTTTTATATGCAAAATGGTGCTTCGATTTTAACACCTCTTGTGCATACTACCCGGTATGGTGCCTATAGTCTCATCAAAGTTGGACTGTATCAGTAGGGAACACGCTCTTCCGAAAGCCGACCAACCTAAGTCGAAAGGCAATGTTCGCATTCGCATTAGCATTCGTTTTCGTGTTGAGATATAACTTAAACATTAGCAACATGTATACTAGGTGCTAAGCACCTTAGGGACATATTTGCTGCAGGGAGTAGGCAGCAGCGTCAAATGGAGCCAAACCACCATGCAATAAGCAACACGGGAAAAATAACGGAAGAGGAAAAAGCAGAACGCGGGTGATTTGCCGTAACCGTGGTTTGGCCTACTTCCCCTTCAGCAATTTTAGACAGAGCAACTGGCATCGCCGCCATTTTCTTGAATAGGTGGAGGCGCAGTCAACGATTTTGTTTCCAAGTAAAAGGCTTCCACTGTGTATATCACTTGGGGTCGAAAATACGTTCGCATGCTTTAGTTGTGCATCGTGGGTATGGCGTCATATGGGTGCACAGCCCCGAGATCGTGCCGAATGTTTAATATAGCGTTATAGTTGAGTAGATCAACTAAAATTGCTAATGATCAAGTGCCTGATACATGTTGTAAGTGCTATACAAATATCTATAGTGCATCTTTTGCTAACTGGTCAGAACCTTGATTCTTATCCGACGGTCTTAGGTCTTTGGGTATACCCGATACACTTCAATTCGCTGCGTTTGACCTGAGCGATCTTCTGAAGTATGGCAAAGTAAAGTGTCATTCTGCAATTATTTTCGGTCAGCATCCAACATGTTGTCAACGTCTGCAATAACGTCGTAACACATCGTGGGACAAATCGTAGCCAAGACCATCGCATTCTGGGATAGACTGTGTATAAGTTACGAAATCGCGAACTTCGATCTCGCTCTCAACTTCGCGCCGTAGATCCAGAGACCAAATATACCCAAGATACCAATCACACTTAAGCCACCTAAGACACTAACACCCTTTGTAACACCAAGGTTGATGAAGATTGGTCTTGCGAAGAAACTATAGTAAATGCCGTAAACTAGAGCCGTATATAGGTCACGAATGCGATTGCTAGATCCTTGATAGTGATCTCTATCGGCTTAGCGATAACATTTATTAGGATAGCTGAAGCCGGAGGTTCTTTTGGTCGATTTTAAACTGTGCTAGGAGTCGCTTATTGCCAGTTAATTGTTGGAGTCGACGGGTGCGATGGAGCATAATACAATGGACCCGGCCTGCAGAGGTATAGCAAGGCTCGTTTTCTAAACAACATCCTTCTCGGCCGGGACACCAAGTGTAGGCGTCCCCTGTTGGGCATGTGTATTCCTGTCGCGCTATAAGGTTGCCAGTAACCAAAGCTGCTACTGGCAGAAGTAGCTCGGTAGCATTTGTTATTCTGCAGCTCAAAAGAATGATGGAAGGCCACTGCAGATACATGGCGTACGTTGGACTCAGGACTGCAGGCTTGGATGGGGATGGTCAAAATCACACTAGAGGGTGAAAGTGACGAGCAGGACTATATATGCATAGAAGTCTGGGTATGGAGAGACCTATCAGTTCGGTACTCGCCGCATGGATGTAACCCAGGTATGAACTTTTGATGCCGACCTACTTATTCAGCCTCGTGTTGTCGCATTTTGCTACTAATCCCGTCCTCTAATGGTTGGCTTGTAGCTCAAGCCTCCTTGGCATTGCCTTGACTGACTCAAGATGCAGCAAGCAAGGCTTAGCAATCATAGAATTGTCTCATGACTCGAACTAGTCAAGGGTTACCGGTAAGCTACCGGTAAGAGAATTAGTTTGACTACTGAGTATGATGAACGCAACAGGGCAGTCACGGTGTTCTTCTATGAGAGATATGAAAAATGTGACAGCATTTTCTGGTAGCAACTTAGGGCAAATTTGACCCTGAAGGCGCATTTAGACAGGGGAACGTCAGTCTAGCTTCCGAAAAGTGGGGTGGCTCGTTTGACAGCACTAGTGGGTTACAGATGCGTGGCTGCATATCTCAGGAGCTGCTGGCTGTCAGTGGCCGTTTTTCCCTCTCGAACAGTCCCTTAAGACTTTCTGCTCGGGGTCATGACACTAGAGTCCCCTTAGACCATGCAAATCTTTATGCCAACTCAACCCCATCGCTAACTAGATCCAGGTTAGTGCATATCCAGGAGCGCCACTAGTTGGCATATTCAGGAAACGTACAACGAAAATCTAAGCCGAATACGAGAACTACGGAGCATTGCCTTTTCGCAGTATCTTCGGCGAATTTTGCCCTGCAATCAAAATTGGCCACCAGTCCATGCGAGAAGTGTTACCGACCGATATATTGCTGACAATTTGAACAGAAAGGGGGGCGCAGCTAAGCAGCGCCTCTCATCACCCCTTTTAATAATTTAGAGTAGTCGATCAAAATTTCCACTCTTCCTATCCTCATCATCACCTCCCAGTAAGTGGCCAAGCTACATATCTCAGCGGTATCTATACGGTATTAATATGTCCTCTAGAACAAGCAGCGTAGCGAGGATTTTTATAGTATCTGTCCTACGCGTTAACTTCGGCTCTATATCTTTGAGGTTTTGGGGATTTTAAGGGTAGGCAAATTGGATTACTACAACCACAGCTAATCGGGGTGTGGTGGGAGTTGGTAATTGCTATTGTACTTTTCATCCACTGATCTAGAGCTGAGCCCGTGTATGCTGACCTTATAATTGTCGAACCATATCAAAAGTGATGAAATGTAAACATGAACAAAGTTCAAATCTTGCTTTGCGAGATGTCTCTCGGCCCCCCAGGGCCCTCTTCGAGGCCATTCCTTCGTGGTGCATCGGGGCGCCAGCGCCAGAACTCTCGCATGAAGGATGAGCTTTGGTCCCCTTTCTCCAATATATCCGCGGCATGCTGTGAGTAGCTATTAGTAAGACTCTCATGATGTGAATGGGCTCTTCCCACCTGTCCCAGAACTGGTAAGAACTTTGCACCATGGCCACTACCTCCTGTGCAAACGAATACAGAGTTCTCTGCATATGTCGGTACGTGATCGATCTAGATAATTCGAAGATGAGTAAATTTATTTGTCCAAATTATCCTGAAGACTTACCACGAAGGAATTGTCCAGTGAATCGGTATACCAGCAGAGCTTTGTAGAGAAAAATGGAATACCATCAAACTCCGGCAGGAATATAGACACAAACTGTTTGATCGAGTAAACAGCGGGCTCCGGTAGTACTGAGCACTTTTCTACCGGAAGAGGAACCGACCATTTCCCGTCTTGGGTAAATGGAGTGTCTTGCGGTGCGGGTTGGAAATTAGTCCACTAGAGATGTGATCAGCAAAGTCAAACGAAGAGGAGGAATCATTGATTACTTTGATACCACGGTACCCAATCTTCACGAAGCCCTCTGGAGTTCTTGGTAGAACGTAAATACTTCCGGTATCCTTGCCAGAGCTATCCCGAGCTACACTTTTCCAGGTCATGACGGGGAATCGCTCCGGGGAATATTTCTCCCATAGCGCGGTGTTACCCCTGTCAATCTTGAAGGTGGCAAGGCTACCAGCAGAGGACTCGAGGTGATAGGTCAATTCCGGGAGAATTTGCGTCGAAAATGAACCAGCTACACGAAAGTTGGCATAATAAGATAGAGAGGTGTTAGGCGACTTACCAGCTATAACAACAACATCGGCATCATGTACAATGCCGTTTGTAGTTCTGAGTCCCGTCACCTTCTCTTTGCCTGGTTCAAGGCTACTCATCACCTTGATCAACGAGTCAACCGCCCCCTCAGGTCCAAAGTAAAACTTGACCCCTTTGTCGGTGGCCACCCTTTGGTAATGGACACAGGCATTACTGCATCGGACAAACCCAGCCGTTGAGTCCAGCACTGCTTCATAAATCTTTCCAGGGGAATCTGGAATCCGGAAGTCAAGTATCTTCTCTTTCCAGCCCAACTTGTCGGCGCGCTGGCAATCTGCGGGGTCACTTTTGACAAACTGGGTGTCTCGTAACCCATCACGTTCCATGTTCGCGAGTGTTTCCTTCTCCAGGGTGGCTAAATGGTCCGATGGCTGTATACGAAGCATTCCACTATTAACGAAAATTCGCTGGTCATCGCCTTCATTGCTTCGTTCCGAGAAACCGCGTTTCTCGTCTTCTGCAACCCACGCCTTGCGGCTCTCAAAAGCGAGGCGCTGGTAGTGAATCTCTTTCCCGTATGATGCGCGGAACTGGATTCTTTGGTCAGTCCTTGCTTCTTTGTCTTTGTTGCTCACGTACAATCTTGTTGTGATCAGCGGATGCAGCCTGAACATCATCCGATGCGGGGTCATATCCATTTGCATCATACTGGCTTCGATCGAATACAGTCACTTCATAGTCTGCAAAGTAGTCAGTCAAGGTATACCAACACGGAGTCTTCTTTTTACTTTTGTCACGCAGTGCAATGGCCAGCGAAAGTCCGAAAATGCCGGCTAGCAAGTAGGTTAGTACATATGGTGCTAACAAAGCCGAGTATTCTTACCTCCGATAACGGCAACTGACTTGGGCTCTGTCATTTCTCCGATGATACTCTATTTATCGGTGGGCATGCGATATATGGCCGGGTGTAGTTGTATTTCTACTCGCAAGCGGAGTTGAAGTCCCCGCAAAGCCAAGCTCCACAAGGTCCCCGATATGACTTGGACCACTTTGATATCTCAACGTTGCAGTAACGTGCCTAGTTCGTGCTTCAATTCTCGGTATATTACTGCTATTAGACCGGATACTTGAGTGAAACTAAAAGTAACTGTGGGCTCAAGGTCTCTCACTCACATAATTAGTTACCTTGGGAATAGCGTCATTTTAATTAGAGCATCATTTATCTTTGTTGAAGGATGGCCTGTCAACATTCTCTTAGAATATATAATGCGATCTTGCATCACCTAGTGGCTTTATGGGTGGCCTATTCGGTGAGATAGTGCTTGGCGCATGGAGCCATACTCAAACAGATATCCCCTTTGAATATATAAGCGTCGTGTTTTTTGCGAACTTCTCGTGTCGCCTGCACGTGCCTCCAGTGTTTATCCAGTGGTCATCCTTGGTACAATACGGAAGGGAACTTGCAAAGGTTGTGTGCAAAGGTTGTGTCCATAGACGCCTTTTTTGCGGCCGATGGCTTTGGAGCGGGTATAGCTACACGTGTGTAAAAGTGAATTAATGAGGATCAAGACGCAAAAAGCAAAAGGGTCAGGAGCGCCAGATCTGCATGATTTATGAGTTGGACTTGTATAGAGCGATCCGAAGCAGGGATTAGTACCCTTTGCGCATAAAGCCTATATCAATCGTCATCGCGATTTTTATAGGCCTGAACCTGGACCACGACCCATTTCTACTTCATCCATGGAAGTCAATTATTGTGGGCGGTAAGAATCTCGCAAACTCCACAGATCTTCAATAAAACCGGTTCACATGTTGCAAATCTCCGGGTTTGCCTGTCGTTAGAATACAGGTCTTGATCCGCCCTCCGTACACTATAAGATAAAAATCACTTCAACATAGGGATCCTTCAACATAGGGGTTCAATCTCCTACTAACTTTGAATACTCGGCTATTTGCTCGTATATTCTCTCCTATTTTAAAATGAAATGTAAGATCTCAACCAAATCTCCCCGAAGTGGACCTCGGTCGCCGAAATGAGGTCTCCACAGGAGTGCACAGATCGCTTGACTAGACATACGTAGCTCGGTCCACCAAAATCCAGAAAGCAGACCGCTAGGACTGTTCCACTTAAGGTTGCTTAGCTTGCTAGCTCTCACTACGTGACAACGGGCCGATATCCAAAAATGAGTCTGAAACCGCAGTTCATTTCTCCTCAGGAGTCGGGATGATTGTCCGGTTAGGGTCTTTTAGACTGTGCTCTATAATGATCGACACGATAGTGTGTTCTTTTCTTCACTTGCATACACTAGAATATGCTTAGTCTATCGGGAGCCGACCATTGTTCTGGGTCAGGGGTTCGGTGGCGGTACCACCGCGCAGGGTAATTTCTAGTTCTCCACTTGCGGCTGGCGGGGTTCTGCAGACGTTGTGCAGAAACTTGGATTTGGTCGACTGGTCGCTTTGTATATGGAGGAAAACTACGTTGCAGTGGATTCCAAGTCTGACGGGAAACACTCGAATATCAATGTAGTTTAATTTGACATAAATTAATTCATATATTAGAAAAGTCCGTTAGTGGAGTAGGTAGTACCCGAAGAAGTAGACACAACGGAATATGGTATATACAAAATCGTAAGGGTAAGAAATATCATAGTCATAAGCAAATATCCAAGATTTTAGCTGTTGCGGCGCCCAGTGTGTTCATCAGACTCATATGCGGAGGCGGGCTCGTGTGAGATCTCGATTGTTGTTTCTTGAACCACACCGCCGAAGTTGGACATTTCCATTTCATTCTTAGGGACGATATCATCGGTCGAGTCATCGAAGGGACTGGTCCTCTTGGTGTCGGGGTTGGAATTCTGGCGGAATCGGGAGCCAAAGCGAGAACCTCCTTTGCTGCGGAATCCCTTGCTGCGGGGCTTCGATGATCCTCCAGCGTTGGTAGTGATGTTGGTCTGCCACTGCGAGTCGGTGTTGTCGTAGTTGCGGTCGGTGGTGCTGTGCTCGGTGTCGATCAGGAGATGGCGACGGGTCAAGGTGTATACCATCACATCGAAGAAGCCGGACAGGGCCATCAAGCAACCGGCTACACCGAAGTAGGTCTTACTGGGTGCACTACCACGTGCAGTGGCCATACGACCGGCGGCAAGTGGCAAAGACAGGACAACATACACCAGAGGATAGACAACCATGTAAACGACGACTCGGTTGAGACGGTGCAGACTTTCTTGTTGGCCACGGCGCAGTTGTTTCGCTTGTTGCATACGGCGTCGGAGGTAGAAGAACATGATCGCATAGAGCACAACGGTGCCGAATTCGGAAAGGAAAATCCAGAAGTAGTGACCCCAGAGACGTTCGTCTTCATACTCGGGACTCACCCAGCACTATCAACGAGTCAGTTAATTGAATATCAAGACCAGTAGGAGGCATTACATACCCAGTTGGCCTCAGAGATCACAAAGACATCTTTCCCGTATAGACCGACAGGAATGAATCCCAGAATCAAAATGAAAGCCCAAAGTCCGACCACACACCAGATAAAGGTTTGGAATGTCACTTGACGACCACGTAGAACGACTGCACCTGTATGCAGGGCGATAGACAAGACAAACAATCCACTGCCAGGGTCACCTGTCTGGATCCACCACCCTTGCAAGTAACAGGCGGCTTCACCAAAGCGAACACTTCCCACAGACGCCCAGTAGAGGGATATCAAGAAAGCGAGAGACTGTTGCAAGTCGACGAGAAGCAAGTTATAGATGAGCACGACATACTGGTTCTTGGCGAGCGGGCTTTTGTAGTATCGTTGCCAGTAGACAAATCGGTAGGTCAGGAAACTGAGTAGAGAAAGAGAGGACACCAGGGAGATCAGAGCAGTGGTTCCCATAGCAATAAAAAGCGAACGATCGGAGCCCACAAGCGGAACTTCGTCCTGAAATTCCCATTTGCGAGGAACGAGGCCATGATCCGACGTTAGGGAGCGTAGCACGTGGGAAAACATGTTGAAGCCGTTGCAAAAAAAGATCGTTAAAAACGAGGGGCCCTAGCTATAAGAACAGGATCCGGGGGGGAGTGCATAGATGCAATCCACTCTGCGCCAAGCCGTGCAAAATGCTTAGGAGTTCACTGGCAGCGGACTTCCAGGGATTCCACACAATAGTCCACGCTAGTTCCATTTATGGAGTAGTAACTGTATACTCCATTTGGCAAATCATCCAGGCTAGATGTAGTGGAGATGGAACACTCTACGCACACTGGTGGATGGTTTGTACCGAGCCCTACAACCAAGTCGAAACTTCCACTCTCATCCAAAAATTGCGCTGATGATCGACATCGAAGCTAAACAATTAAAATTTGAAGCGGACTTTACCACAAGCGCCACCGTTCCAGCCAGGCGTTTAACCCGTATTGACTAGGTCCTTCACTGGCTAGCCTGCGCCCAAGGCTGCCATTGACGAGCCAAGTGGGTTGGCCCTTCGTATTTGACCCGACCTGGCCCACAAGTGGAACAAGCAATGGATTGGAATTGCCAACGCTTGGCCTCGGGGGGGTAATCCGAGCTGCACGCATTGTTATTAGCCTGGAGTTGAACCTCGTGGGGCATCACAGGTGTTTTTGAGTTAGGGACTTTCGTGATCGCTGCTCCAACAGAGCCATTGGAGAGCCTCGACGCAACGTAGATCAGTCGATCCTGCATTTGAAGAAACAAGCGTGGTGTCTTCCGAAAGCATGACAGCAAAGATACCATTTTGGGACATAGCCCCGGATCCGCTGTCCACGTCTATTGGCGCCATATGGAAATCTTATATTCACTCGCTTTTGGGGTATTTTTGTACTTCGTGATTTCTCAGGGGCACGGGCATTGGTTGATCAGGAGAACTGAAGATCAAAGGATTACATGGCCAAGATCATGACAAGTCCGAAGTCTGAATGGAAAGAAGACAGGGAGAGAGAGTGAGGATAACTGAATGAGTTGATATCAGTTCGTCCAGACCTAAGGTCTTTAAGTATCACAGAGCTAATGTGTTCTTCAAGAAGTTCGTCTCCGTGGCGCAATTGGTTAGCGCGTCTGACTGTTAATCAGGAGGTTGGAAGTTCGAGCCTTCCCGGGGACGTTCCTTTTTTTTTATAGAATCGTATCTCAGGGTATTTTTGCGTTTTATTCGTGTTTCTCTATTTTTCTTTTTGCTTACTTTGTTTCGTCTTGCCCAAGTGACATGACATGGATGAAACAAAATGCGGCTGTGATGCTATTTTGGACCATATCTAAATGCAACCTCGACTGCGGCCACCCATCAGGATATTCGCATGGTAGCATGAAGATGTCGATCTTCTCTGTTTACGATGTCAGGCATTCATCATAGAAATAGCATCCTGCATACTGTATGTCTCAGTCCTGCCCACACTTTCCTGGTCAACCCCACACTGACCTTCCGCCTCATTGCACCGGTTTCTCAGGCCATCTACTGCGGAAGTATCGGGTGATGGTGGGCCCGAGATGAAAGCCTCCTATTTGAGTGTCAGCTGGGTGTCTCTAAGACCTGCACCGGGTACAAGCGGTGGTGATGGTAGGAAATAGAATCAACCTTGGCGGGAGGCCTGGTGATCACGATATATAAATCACCATGTGAGGCAGCTGGAAGTATACAATCCAGCAAAACATTCAATCATCCTCAAACAGAGAAAAACAACCCTTAACTATATCACCATCATGAAGTCCATCATTGCTTTCACCTCCGCCTTCTTGGCAGCCCTCCACCTCGCCGCCGCCGCTCCCACAGTGGCCGCCAGAGCAGAAACCGTATCCGTTTCCTACGACCCCAAATACGATGTGCGCGAATCGTCTCTGACGACTGTCGCCTGCTCAGACGGAGAAAATGGTCTGATCCCTCTCGGATACAGCAACTTTGGCTCTCTGCCAAACTTCCCCAACATCGGTGGTGCCATTACCATTCCGTCCTGGAACAGCCCTAACTGCGGCAAATGCTACCAGCTGCACTACTCCAACGGCAAGATCGACAAAACCATCAATGTCCTTGCCATTGATGCTGCCCCGGGTGGCTTCAACATTGGTCTCCAGGCTATGAACACCCTGACCAATGGCCAGGCTGTACAGTTGGGCCGTATTTCCGCCACTTACGTTGCGGTGGATGACAGTGTGTGCGGAATGTAAGGACTGAATGTACGTAGCATACGAAAATAGTGGTATATGAGAGCTGGGATATCATTGGATAACTTAGTGGAGAGTTGCGAATATTCATCTAAATTGATTCATCTATACAGTTCATGTTTTACATAGAAGGCTCAATCAAGTACCTCCAGCATTTCTTCTACACGGCCAAGTTTACTCCGGGGCTTGCCCTTTTGTTGACCACGTTCTTTCTCAGCGGCATCAATCCTTAACCAGTCCTGCCAGGATGTAGGCCGGAGACCGCGGCGTTCAGCCTCGGCCTTCACTCCATCCCAGCCGAGCCCACTGCCCTGTTCAGGTGCATGAAGCAAGGACTGGGAGTCGACACGATTTGCTAAATCCTGGGCAAGGGTATCTGCTGTAGTAAAAGCGTCGGTCATAGTTGAAGCGATTACACCCGTAGGACCCCTCTTGACCCAACCAGCACAGTATAGACCAGGTAGGGTGGAGATCAGAGATCCATCTGGAAGTTCCTCAGGTGCTCCCTTGCCCGAGAGACTTGTCACGCGACCGAAGCCATCGTTCGGGATGATTCCGCGTCGGATATCGAAGTCGATACCGAGATCATCTAGCCCGGGGAGAGGAAGCGATTTATAGCCAACACTGCGGAAGAACACGCTAGTTGGGAGATTAACCTGCGCACGCTTTCCGCTCGACAAGTATTTCGGGAACACTTTTGAACTGGGACTATGAGGATCGGAAGGATCGAGCTCATTGCGAGAGAATTTCGCATGAGACAGTCGGTAAGGGTACTCTGGGGCCCAGCATAGCGAGTCGGGCGCAAGTAGAAAGTCTAAAGACCACGATCTGGAGGCTTGCTGAGGATCATTGGCTGATCCTTTAGCTAGAAGCTGCATTAGGCGCTTCTGCGCCCGGGGCAATGCCGAGACCACATCGTCCGGCGGAAAGACATCCTTCGGGATCGGGTCGAATGAGACACCCGGAAGCTGAAGCATTTCACGGACTTCTTTGATAGTAAATGCGGCCTATGTCAGAGGGGTCAGCAATCGGAATATAAATAGCCAGTCCAGTGTGACTCACCTGTAGCGGTCCGCGACGCCCGACAACTCGCACTCGTTTAATGCGACTGGTAGCAAGTTTCTCTAGTGCATAGTCTGCGATATCGGTCTTGCGGAGTGCGTCGACGTCCGAAAGAAGAATACGCGCAACGTCTAGTGCAACATTGCCCTGTCCGACGATTACAGCATCCTCCCCGCTCGTTAGGTCGGGATCGAGATCCCGGTGCTCGGGGAGACCATTATACCACCCCACGAAGGCGCGGGCTGAGTGTACATTCTTCAGCGCCTGCTCGCCAGGGATCCCTAACTCCTTATCCTTTGCGGCTCCGTAGGCAAACAGAATGGCATCGTAGTGGGGTTTGAGGGCAGAAAGCGGGAGATCGTTGCCGAGGTCGATATTCCCGACGAAGTTGAAGCGTGAAGAGGTGGCTACTTCTGTGAATTTATCCTCGCAGTTCTATGAAACCGTCAGCCTGATTCTATATCTTCAATATGTGATCCTTTATCAGATCGCTGTGACCGTGACTCACCTTGACTTCGGGATGATCCGGTGCAACACCATACCGAGCAAGACCAAATGGCACAGGAAGTTTCTCGTACATGTCCACTACCGCATCTTCACGCTTACCCAGCAGTCGATAGGCTGCGTAGAACCCTGCTGGGCCAGAGCCCACGATAGCAACACGGACTGGTCGGCCGGTTTGCGCAACATAGCTGTTGAAACGCCTCGGGAAAATGAACCGAGAAACAAAACTCTCATGTCGTAGAGGCCGGTAAGCAGTCCGCGCAGTGCATTGAGCACATACGAAGGCCCCGTTCAAGCGCATGATGCATAGTCGGAGACACCGCGGAGACGAGCGGAGATCAATCTGATAACGCACGTGATATCAGTTGCCCGGCCGACTATCTTGTTGACTCGCGAGCTACACTCAGTCACATCTTGTCACATTCCAGCCTCATTCTCCATCGACATTCCTCTCACTCTTTTGCGCGTGGATGCCACGAGTATCTTTCAGTCGCTACCATGGGGAGATCGTCGCCTCCATTCCTTTACGATCGTCCGTCCGCTTATAGCTTCTATGGACCGACCGACAAGGGCTTCAACCCGAAGGCGGCGACCGAGGCGAGCTGGACTCGTCCAGCTCCAAAGTCCAAACCAACAGGGCCATTGGTGAATTTGAATCGGCACCCTGATACGGTATGTGAGATCCAGAGATTCAATGTGGATTCTGCTAATGGTGGATGCAGTGGGGTTCCTTTAATACGGTCAGCTCTTGGATTCCGATGAGCCCCTACACTAAGGATCGCGTCAAGTGGGCACGCATAGCTCAGCTCACACTACGCGTCCTTACTCTATTGGGGGCTCTTGGGTCCCTGTTCTGTTCAATTGTTATCACGGGAGCTGCAGCGACTGTTATTTGGATCATTCGCGTAGGCGTACGTATATCCTATCTGATTTGGAAGTTCCTCTGCTGACCTAGATATCAGCCAATTGTCTCTATCCTTCACACCATTTATGGTATTTGTCACCATGCTCGCTCTCCTATCACCCGACCCTCCGGTTCACAAGCCGCGTATGGGCTGTTCGCTTCGACCCTGGACTTGGGACTCATTGCATTTTACGTGTTTACCGCATTCATAGCATATGGCGAGTGGACATCCAACGCATACAATTGGGGAACTATGTTCAAAAACAGCGACATCACTGTCAAGTTGTCCGAAACTACCTTCATTCTGGCCCTTGCAAATGGCGGACTACATCTGATCTCCTTCTTCATCTGTATTTTCTTC